GACAGGTTACATCTAGTAAATTGAAAAAAAAGCTTTATGTGTGCCAAATGTATGCAACCAAGGATATATAAAATTTGGTCGCATTACCTTACAAGTGACGTATCGAGGGATATATACGATCAAAGTATAAAGTGGTGCATAATGGCAAACGTGCCGTATTAAACGCTATAGTTTCCATTTGGTCATCTTATAACAAGAACGAATAATTTGGTAGTCGGTCATTTGACATGACGTTTAATAATGCGTTGTTAATTTGTCATCTTGGGACGTAAACATTTTATCAAACATTTATAATTTTGTAGGTTGGTTAGTAAATGCTGTGTTTAGATTAAACAAACATTGATTGGTGAAACTGGGTCTTAGAGTATTCTTATTATCTTTTGAATTAACAACTTTAATGATTAAATATTTGTCGAACATATCAATAAATATTACCTTTGGTGAAGCTTGTCTCCCAACCCACACATAGATGGAGCCACTGACTGTGTCAAGAGTATAGGTGTCCTGAAAATATTATTAAGTAATTAGACATCAGAAGAGATTTTAAACGTTAAACATTCTACTCTCCTGGAGAGGGAATAGAAATAGACGGATCGAGAGTAAATGAGTGGGTCAATTATTAATCCTAAGCAATGTTTATAAAGTTTTTCTTAAAACAATATAAATTCACTAACAATTTGTTTCTACGCATTCCTGCTTCGAGCTTTGATTCCGACATTACGAAGTTTCACTTTTTCCACTTAGATGGACTCCACGCTCTATTTTTTTCACTTCATTTTTGTATACATCGAGATTGTCGACAAGGGAGCGTTCAAGTATTACGATATTCAATTTTTGCACATTTTTGACCCCTCTTCCCCCCTTCCATCGTTTGTCTGTACCCCCCTCTGCCCTTCTCTAAACGTTACGTAACAGTCAAGTGATCAATGTCATCCTACAGTCGTAAAAAACGATGTAATAGTTTGGTATAGTTTTAATCTACCAAATGAAACAAGATCATTGATATAAATGTCTTTGAAGAAATCACAGTATGAACTCTAGGAATATTGAGCACTGAACCAATATTAAATGACGTACAATGCAATCTAGGTATTCCCCGTAAAATACAAACTAAGAGGTTTGCAAACTTGCGAGAACAAATTAAAAATGTGTACATAATGTAACGTATATGAAAAGGGTTGGCTGTTTGTTGATTTCAATTAATTATTTTATTTAGAACGAATGCTACGTATAACGTAACCTCTTGTAAGAGAGAGACCTCCCGCCCCTGTTTTACGTAATACTTGAACGCTCCCTAATCAACTAAGTTTTAATTTAATACTATATATAACTTACTTGGTGTTTCAACTGGTCCGACAGGTAGGGACCAGTGAGAGGTGTTGTTTTAAATTTGCCAGAACTATCTGACACCTCCGATAAAAGAACTGAACGCTCTTCATTTTTCTCGAATGTCTGAAAATATTTTCAATTTTTTTAAAAACCACTACGTAATATACAATCATATACATAATGTAATAGTTATCAGTTTATTATAAAATAATTAAACAAAGCAAATATTTTATTTTAGGAGAAAAGAAAAAACAAACGCCTTATAATTTTTTAAGCGTATAACGACGATAACTGCTATTGCTATTAAAATCTATCAGACGCTTCCAAAATAATAATATCCCTACTAATATTATAAATGCGAAAGTAACTCTGTCTGTCTGTTAGGCTTTCACGCCTTAACCATTGAACTGATTTTAATGAAATTTGGTACAGAGATAGAGTTGACCTTGAGAAAGAACGTAGGACAGTTTTTATCCCAGACTTTTGAAAGGCTCTGTTGGAAACGCAATATAACAGAGTTCCACGCGGGCGAAGCTATAGGCGGAAAGCTAGTTACTTGTATAATGTATAATATACCTTGCTCATATGTATTTGATTTAGTTGTAATATGCAGTTCTATTACCTGATCATCTCCACCCACAGTTTCATCAGGAACCAGATTTTTAGATCCAGAACCCAGTGTGGTAAAGAATTTGTCGACATCTACGTGACTTGAATATTGATCTGAAAGGTAAGAGTAAATTTAAACTATTTTATTTAATTTACGTAAGTGGTTTTTGTTTATTAGAAGTTATGGGACGAAATCATAGTTTTATGGGAACATTTTTTTATGCTATGTCTTCATTCGCACTGGAATCGTTGAATATTTACCAATGACAACGGTTTTATTTGTTGGACCAATTATAATCTTGATTACTGTGTGGAAACATGACGGAGTTTGTCGAATGGAACAAAGGTGTTTATATTATTATTATTTTAAAGAAGACTCAAGTCATAATCTTTTCGACACTTTGTATGATATAGTTGAAATAGATCTTGACCTAGGTAACATTTTCAAGCTACATATTAAATTAACAGTGTTTTATTAATAAATCTTGTTTAGAGATTTTTAAAGATTGTTATTGATAGTATATTTACGATGTATGTGTGTTTGTCATCATAGCTATGTAACAGATCAACCGATTTCGATGTGGTTTTTGTCATTTTGAAGCCTTTTTTTTGTTTAACCTCGGTTTAGTTGTGCAATGTATATAATGTTGATTGTAGATGTAGAATAGATTGTAGAATAGTAACATAGAATGTAGATTATCTTTACCAAGTGATGTAAAACATTTTTGACGTATGATTAGTTCATTAAGTCATTCGTGACAGTGTCATTGTGAAATGATAAATTAGGTCTCTATGTTTATTTTTTGTTGTTTTATAATACTTACTCTGACCACTATTTAATATATGGTATATATATATATATATATATATATATATATATATATATATATATATATATACCCTATATGTACATACCTATACATATATTAAAGCGATGACGTTTGGTTTGTTCACTTCTACGAGGGAAAGTATTTGTTGACGCGACTTGTGTGTTTGTAAAATGAATTCAACTTATTTAAGGTGTTTTGGTTTAAGATAATTAGGTAGTTTGTTCTAGTTGAAGTTTGATTTGTTATTTTATAGTACTGGCTTTATAAGACATCTATATCTTTTAATTCTTTTGTACTGCTGCAATAATAACCTTCTTCTCTCACCTGTCTAACTCTTATGTTCTTCTTTCCTTGGACCTGGAACAGTTGTTTCTGGGCTCCAGGGTTAGTGATCACGTGGTTAAACCCAGAGTCGTGACCTCCGTCCAGATAACGAACAGCTGGAAGGTCACGGGCAAGTTCAGCTTAAAAAACACTAACAATTGGTCATAATTTCGCAAGTATTCAAGCTAGGAATGGTATATAGCTGGTATATATTTTTCGGTGCCATTTTCAGCTTGTAGCCAGAGTTTTTCTTATACATAATGTTCATAATTTCAATAATCGTGAACTTATTGATATTGGGAAGCCGTTTTTTGTATAAATCATGTATTTTGTATTAACCAATAATCATGTTTTATATAGAAAAAATAGGTAAAATAGGCAATCTTGGCTTCGATTGAACTTTTCTGACATAAAAATTCGTTTAACATAAACCGTATAAAGATATATATTTTAATTGATTTCATTGTTGTTAGTACTATTTAAACCAAAAACCGTACACTGTTTAGTTGCCTCAATATCTCACTAGATGAAGTTAGTGTCTATGCAACTATCTGTCATTACATTTGTCCTCTTCGCTGTGTTTTCATTTTAACTAAATCACATTTTATTTAATAAATCCTATATTATTGCCTAATAAAATTAATAGTTCGCTGTTCTTTCATTTTAAGACATTAATTAACATATAGGTATATAATGTTCAAATAAAACTAATATTTTGTTATACTTCGCGTATTTTATTATTTTAACTACATACTATAGACGTTTCGGTTACTTTGCAACAACCGTGAACATTAGGACGAGATGAGAATTGAATGAGAATAATAATAATAAAATACGCGTAGTAATCCGAAAATATTAGTTCCATTTAAATGAATACTCAAAAGTCTTAAATCTGAAATATATCATCATCATCAGCCTATCAGAGCCCACTTCTGAGTAAAGGCCTCTTCTCATATGGAGACAGAGTATTAATCACCATTCACCACACTTGCTTCAAACTCATAATTTGATACAAGTCCATGTTTTCTTTCATCAGTCAGTGATGTCTAAATACTCTTAGAAAGTACATATGACTCGGGACATCACATTGGTAATTGCCAGGTTTCGAACCCGCGCTCTCGTGCATGAGATGAGGCCATTAACCTCTAGGCCACCACGACTTTCATGTTATATAGTAATCATCTCTATAACTAACTGACCTTCATTCTTAAAGTATCCCAGGAACTGTTGGCTCTCATAACCCATGGACTCTCTGTGTTGTATAGCTTTACCGTTGAATTTGGACCGACAGAGAGTGTTGGAGCCAATTACCAAGAATGTAAACGCCTCATATAAACTATTAGCTACGACGCGAGAACGCGGGACTCGGTCAAGATCATCAGTGCGTAACGAAGCATTGAACGTGCAACATCCATATGTGTAATCTATATTTAATAAATAGCATTAAGTCAGTCTTCGTTTACTTGTAACCTGCGCGCTCATTTTGGTGACCCCGACGTGATCAACTTCGAATTGGAACGGACTCGCAGCCAAACTGTTGTTACGTCATCACGATAATATCACGGGCGGAGCTATCCTTCGAGAATTCGCCAGCAGCCAGCTGCAGCCACTGTTTCCGAGGGAAGTGCATCCATCCTTTCTACTTATATATCCTTTTTTGCTTCAACTCGCGTGAGTAAAATTTATATGATAAATTTATTTTTCGCCCACCGTCAACTTTTTTATGATATCGGTACATAATATAAAATTCTTTGTTAATAAAATTATTCTTAAAATTGTTGTTTGTACAAATAGCTTGTGTTATATGGTGTTTCGCGGTTTATTTAATTCTTAACATCGTAGTTATTAACATCTGATTCGTTATATATACGTGAAGCGTTATAATATTTTAAATATTGCACCGTCATTATGAGTGACGTAAAGGAACTTATCAAACAAAGGGGACATATTAAGGCTCGTGTAACATTGTTTGAAAAATATTTAAAACCTTTGTTAGAGTGTAAAGAAATTAGTTTAGTACAGGTGAATGAATTGCGCTTGCGCTTAAGCAAGATACGTGATTTATCATGCACTTTTGATGATATTCAATCGCAGATTGAAATGTTGGATGACGATACGTCAAAGCAAATGCAAGAACGCGAATTTAATGAAAATATATTTTTTCGTTTATCGGCCGAAGCTCAGTCATTAATCGATTTTTCGAAAATAAAAATAAATTAGAATCTTCATCTAACAAAAGTCGTCCGGACTGTCATTTAAAATTGCCCCCAATTAAAATCACGCCCTTTAATGGCGAGGCGAACAAATGGTTGTCATTCAGGGATACATATGTGTCGTTAGTACATAACAATGAAACGATTGACGACGTTAACAGGTTTCACTACCTCAAGACGTACTTGGAAGGGCCGGCTAGCGCTGTCATAAACTCAGTCAGTGTCTCATCCGACAACTATAGCCTCGCATGGAAATTGTTATGCGAGAGATATGATAACAAACGTCTTTTGATAAATGAACACATAAAGTGCTTGTTTTCCATCGAATCTTTAACTAAGGAATCCCACGGTGGTTTACGTAATCTTATCGATACATTATCGAAAAACCTAAACGCCTTACATATTTTAGGTGAACCGACGGACAAATGGGATACGTTAATTATTTTTTTAGCTTCTGCCAAATTAGACAGTGTTACTTCTCGGAAGTGGGAGGAATATAGAAGTCATAAAGACGCGCCCACACTGAACGATTTTTATGATTTTCTTCGAAAGCGTTCTATGGTATTAGAAACAATGAATGTTAATATACCCAGTAAAGTTGATAAACGCCTTAGTTTCTCCAACACAAAATCATTCCTTAGTTCTTCTATAGAATCACCATCACCCTCCGCGCAGTGCCTTCTCTGTAAACAGAATCATAAATTATACGAGTGTGACACATTTAAGTCACTACCAGTCTCTAATCGGATTAATAAACTTAAATTACTAAATGTATGCTCCAATTGTCTTCGCCAGGGGCATCAAGCCTATCAGTGCAGGATGGGTGGGTGTAGAATTTGTCACAAAAAACATAACACTTTAATACATAAACAAAATTCTATACAGCAATCATTTAAAATTCAAGAACAAAGTGATAATAATAGTAAAAACTTACCTACGCTATCACCTGCCGCCACGGCCGCTACCGATTCCGAAGTGCCGAGTAGCTCTGCTTCGGTTTCCATGACTGCCATTTCTACCAATCAATCACTTCTCTCTACTGCTTTAGTCAAGGTGACGAGTAACGGTAAAACATGCATATTAAGAGCTTTACTAGATTGTGGCAGTCAGTCTTCTTTTGTGACTGTCAGGGCTCTAAGGGAAACAGGTTCGCAACATTTTGATTCTGATTACCACAGCGTATCAGGTATAGGAAGTAGTGTCTTCAATGTCACAAAACATTGCTATTTAGATATAGGGTCGTTAAACAGTTCGTTAGTTATGCGTGTTAAATGTTTTGTGTTACCTCACATCACTGATAGATTACCCAATGTTGCAGTGAACGTACAACATTTGGACATTCCGTGTCATGTCCAACTTGCCGATCCAAAGTTCTTTGAACCTTCCGACATTGATCTTTTATTGGGTGCTGATGTATTTTGGGACTTGTTGGAATCAAGCAGGATAAATTTAGGACCTCAAGGCCCAATCTTGCAGGAAACGAAGCTGGGATGGATAGTAGCGGGTCCAACTGCTATTCATAGTAACAATAAGAATCGTAAATCATTTTGTCATTTTTCATTGGATATAAACCAGCAGCTTCATAAATTCTGGGAACTCGAAGAGGTGCCTTCTAATGTCGAGTCTCTTACCGATGATTATTGCGAAAACTTATTTAAAAATACTACTTATCGAGATGCTCACGGTAGATTTTGTGTTCAAATTCCTCTTAAAGAATCTACTCAGTGCTTGGGTGATTCTTACAATATAGCTGAAAAACGCTTGTTGCAATTAGAAAGGAAATTTAAGACTAAACCAGCTCTTAAACAAAAATATCCTGAATTCATTCACGAATATGAACAGTTAGGTCATATGACCGAAGTTCCTCGACCAGCATTTGGATGCTACTTGCCCCATCACGCTGTCATTCGAGAGTCTAGCGAGACTACTAAGCTTCGTGTCGTATTCGATGCCTCTTCAAAGACATCTTCTGGTGTCTCGTTCAATGATGTACAATATATCAGACCTGTAGTACAGGTTTTTGATTTACTTTCAATTCTTTTACGATATCGGCAGCATCGATATGTTGTGTCAGCAGACGTCGAAAAGATGAATCGTCAAATACTAGTTGTTCCAAAGCAAAAACATTTACAATTAATTCTGTGGCGCGATGAACCCACACATAAAATTAAAATAGGTCATCATCAATATGACCATATGTCTCACTCGACAGTTTTGGGTCTGAATTGGGATCCATCGAGAGACGTATCGCAATTTTCAGCTAAGTTGCAACTTGATCAAGTTGCCACAAAACGGACAGTCTTGTCCAACTCAGCAAAGCTTTTTGATCCACTGGGATTACTCAGCCTATGCACCATCATCCCTAAAATAATTTTACAGAGGCTGTGGCTATCGAAAATGTACTTGGGATGATCCAGTGGATAAATCTATATTCAAACAATGGACAGACTTTGCGTCGAACTTAGCTTCAATATCCAATTTTCAAATACCTAGGTGCGTTCTTTTACCGCAAGCAATTCGAATTGAGCTTCAGGCTTTCTGATGCCTCTCAGCTAGCATATGCGTCTGCCGTTTACGTCCGATCATTTTCATTTAAAACCTTTATATTTTCATTTAAAACTTTTACAAAGTTGGGGACTTTTATTAAATGACATCAGAAATAATTTTGGCCTTTAAGAGGCAGAAACTTGCCATCAACTAGAGTCATTCCAAGTCGGCCATTCCACATTAGTGGAGTCGACTTCGGTGGCCCATTCCACATCACTGACCGCAAAGGTCGCGGTTGCCGGATTACCAAGTGCTACATGTGTTTATTTATCTGCTTTAGTACAAAGGCCGTGCATCTTGAGGTAGCTAGCGACTTGACGGCTGATTGTTTCATTTTGTGTCTGCGACGCTTTGTAGCTCGTCGCGGTAAACCATTAGAAATATATTGCGATAATGGTACCAATTTTGTTGGCGCAAATAACTTTCTAACCAACCTCTCAAAAAACAATGAAGATATTATAGGTTTTGCCGCTGAGCAAGGCATAAAATTTAACTTTTCTCCCCCCTTCTCCCCTCACTTTGGGGTTCTTTGGGAAGCAGGCATTAAGGCTGCAAAACACCACATAATACGTATATTAGGCGATAAACATTTCACATTTGAAGAACTATTGACTTTATTCTCGCAAGTTGAAGCAATCCTTAATTCCAGGCCCTTAACTCCTCTTTCATCGGATCCCACTGACCTAGATCCCTTGACTCCTGCGCACTTTCTGATCGGTAAACCATTAACAGCGCTGCCATCCGAAACCTTGATGAACTTCAATCCACATCGACTTAACCGATACCAACTTCTGGAAAGGATGCGACAACATTTTTGGGATCGCTGGCAGCACGAATATCTCTGCGAATTGCAGCAGAAGTCTAAGTGGAGAGTCGAGCGAAAAGGATTCCAGGAAGGCGATCTGGTCATCATAAAGGAAGCGAACCTACCACCTCTTAAGTGGCGAATGGCACGAATCCAAAAACTTTATCCAGGATCCGATGGAATTGCTAGAGTCGCCGATGTCTTCACCTCCAAGGGAGTCGTCCGTAGAGCTGTACACAACCTCTGTTCTTTAGAAAATTCAAGGGACGTCACTCGAACATCGAAGGATTTCGAGGGGGGGGAGGATGTTGGAGCCAATTACCAAGAATGTAAACGCCTCATATAAACTATTAGCTACGACGCGAGAACGCGGGACTCGGTCAAGATCATCAGTGCGTAACGAAGCATTGAACGTGCAACATCCATATGTGTAATCTATATATAATAAATAGCATTAAGTCAGTCTTCGTTTACTTGTAACCCGCGCACTATGATTGATCTACAAAACTCTTTAATACAAAGGTACATAAAAAAATATATAATTTATTTTCTATGTTATATCAAAATCCCAAATTATTAATAATTTAATTCTGTACGTCTTATCTTTTACGCTTTGATATTTACTTATAAACTATCATTTCACCTTAGCACGAGTTTACATCGTCACACTAACAACAATACAAATCATTACATACAGTATTTCATTTTCATAATCTTCTCACATTATAGTATTAACGTAGGTTATTGAATGAGGAACGGGGAAACATTACATATGGTAGTGTAACAAAGCTATTATAAAGGGTTCTTAAATACATATAACACAGCTTTGAAGACAAAAAATAAGTACTGTAATAAATTTATTTCAAATTAAAACTAGGTACATTGATCTATTCAATTACATATGAAATCATTACGCGTATTATTAATATTTAATTCAAGCGTATAAAACAACTAAACAGTCTGTTATATTAACAAAGGAACAAAACAATCAACGGGAGTTTATGTGGATCAATTACATCGAGCGAGTCCTCATTACGTAATCAATTGTTATTAAACCATTCACTAGATAAGGATAATTAAAACGTGCGTGTGCTTAAAAACTTGTACCTGGGTTGTAAATCGATAATGTTTTAAATCTCCTTGTATTTACAAGAGATTTCTCATTCATGCATAAAATAAAATTCGATCAGTATTACTGTGATATTTTATGGAAAAAAATTGCTTTAAATGATACTTATTTATTAGTTTTACGTTATCAGACGAATTTAATTTTTCTTTTTTCTTCCACATTTTTAAGATTTGAAATTTTTGCTTAATATATACAGAGTTGTATGATTTTTAAAGACTGACATTCTTAATACATATATGTATTTACATGTGTATAGCATTATAAATAACTTTTCCAGAGCACACATCTCTTGGAGCGCTAGGCGATTCCTTCTACGAGTATCTGTTGAAGGCCTGGATCCTATCAGACAACGAGGATGTTCAGGCTCGGGAGATGTTTGATGAAGCGATGCAGGCCGCTCTCGACAAGATGCTAAGGACATCCCCTTCAGGGCTCGCATACCTCGCGGAGGTCAAATACGGCAGGATATTTGAAGAAAAGATGGATCACTTATCGTGTTTTGCAGGTTACTTATCCATATTATTCCTTTCCATAGTCTATTCTTCATTTTTCTTTTCTTATTTTCATTCGTAAATCTCTCCCAGGTGGTATGTTCGCTCTCGCTTCAACAACAATGTCAAACTCTCTGTCTGAACGATACATGGACGTGGCTCGCAAATTGACTCACACATGTCACGAGAGCTACGACCGCTCAGAAACTAAACTCGGACCGGAGGCATTCAGGTTAGAAAATAAAAATAAACAACTACTTTAGAAATTACCAATATAAAAAAAAAAACTTTGACCATGGTACAAATGAAACTAGCTCTTAGTATTTTCCTAATTATCCAGTTTAGGTATATTGTGTTTATGTTGTAATTTTTCTGCAAAAATATTTATTTAATTCTCAATAATCACCTGACCTGACCTTTGATAAAAAATATTTCATTTCCAAATATATTTATCTGGTATTTCTTGATCTCTGACATTTAGAAACATTTATTTGGCTCTTAAGAAAATTTTTATTTATCGTATACATTATGTGTATATTTAAGAATTTTTATTATCATAGTCATCCAAAAACCAACAAAATAAGATAAAATAATATATTTTTTAAAACCCGACTAATGGAAAGTTTTTCTGCTTACAATGAATTATGGTTATAATATAACTGGATTTAAGACTCATAATATTCTTGCAATTTTTATATACATATATATTACTATAATTGCTCACCCCAAACGCAGTTCTTATAACAACTGTTAACATATATTCTCAGATTCTCTGGCGCCGTAGAAGCTCGCGCTATGAAGAGTAATGAGAAGATGTACCTACTGCGACCAGAAACCTTCGAGAGCTACTTCATCATGTGGAGACTCACCAAGGATCAGAAGTATAGAGACTGGGGGCTGGGAGGCGGTTCAGGTACACACTAACAATAACTTAGTACTTCAATAGGACCTTTGGTATTGAAAATGATAATATCTTTGTAGCTCTTACTATATTCTTCTACTTGCAATTACCCAACTTTAGCCAGGGAATGCCTTACATGTTGTGAATAGTTTTGGCTAATTGTTTTTACGACCGGTCGCCTGCCTGACATCAAGCATCTTTGGGAAATCAACCATCTTTGGGAAATAGCTCTTACTATAGTAATATATTATAACTATAGTAAGAGCTATATATATTATTACTATAAAATTAGACTTTATATAAAGTATTTTAATAACGTCAAAATGTATAAAAAAAGTGTCAATATATTGTAATTAGAGATAACAAGAAATTAATAATTCATTATTTATAGAAACATATTATAGTTATTAAAGAACACGACATATAGATGGCGTTTATATTAATAAAAGAGATAAATCAGAATTACATAAACATAAAATCAGATAATGTTTAAATGTGTGGATATATAAAAATTTTCTACCATTAGTAAAAACGTTCCAATATTTGTTCATAATAAATGTAAAATATAATAACTAAATGTTGCAGGCTCTTGAGAAGCATTGTCGAGTGGAGGGAGGGTACACCGGTCTACTGAACGTGTACCACGCCTCGCCGCAAGGGGACGACGTACAACAGAGCTTCTTCCTAGCTGAAACGCTTAAGGTACACACACACACACACACACACACACACACACACACACGCACGCACGCACGCACGCACGCACGCACGCACGCACGCACGCACGCACACACACACACAGACACACAGACAGACAGACAGACACACAGACAGACGCAGACACAGACGCAGACACAGACGCACGCACGTACGCACGCACGCACACACACACACAGACACACAGACAGACAGACAGACACACAGACAGACGCAGACACAGACGCAGACACAGACGCACGCACGTACGCACGCACGCACACACACACACAGACACACAGACAGACAGACAGACACACAGACAGACGCAGACACAGACGCAGACACAGACGCACGCACGTACGCACGCACGCACACACACACATGAGCGTACTAAAACATGCACACATTCATACACATGTGTAACATATTCAGTCACACTTATATAATATCTTCAATCTATGCATATGTATGTACATACAAATATGTCATATAATATTTGAGACAACTAGAAATCATTATCAACAAATCCATTCTTATATTACATTAGAAGCATTAACCAATAACTATATGCTGCTATTTGTTATATATTTCCAGTACCTCTACCTGTTGTTCTCCGAGGACTCCTTACTTCCATTGAACGAATGGGTGTTCAACACAGAAGCACATCCTTTGCCCATCAAGAACAAAAACCCGCTGTACCGAGCCGCTGATAAGAACGCTATCATTGGAAATGAGAGCAATCAGATTTAAAAACGCCATTTATATTAATTTTGGCGCCATCTCTTTGAATAATGATGAATTTGTAATTAAAAAAATTTATGTGACTTCAATCAATGAACATTGAAGATTTTGAATCTAAATTATTATTTAATTATTTTAATTTACATGATTCTGGTTTCAGACAGATAAAAATTATAATCTATTGTAATATTTTAATTTCACTTTTTTTTTTTATTCCTTCAATTTATTTTCTGACAAAGATCTTTCTATCATATAATACGTATAGCAAATTTTTGAATATTTCTTTCATTGTCTATGTGATTTTTTAAACATTGTACATATTTAATAATACATAACTAATAATCTCTTAATAAATAATTATTTATATATATTGTGCTGCGAATTGTATAAGATATGGTCAAAGATCATATATAAATTTGAAATTTTGATCACTGTGTTACTTTTCACTCATTATTTTAATAATACTATGTTTAATGCTGCAGCTACTTAATGGAATGGATCGAAATTTCAAATTTCATACAAACTCCCAGTCCGAAGGCATATCTCCAAATGAATTATAGAAATTTTATAATCCCATTGTAACCATAGTGGTGTATATTAAGTATAGATGTTGAACCCGCTGATGGAACTTACAATTGTTTAATGAATGTAGGAAAATGTTTCTAATAATATTTTTAATGTTTTAAAATGTTTAATAATACAATATTATGATAATATTTCTGTTTCACCTGACCTTCTAAGATAGTCAATTAAATGAACCGAAAGCGAATACGCTTTTGAGTTCATTATATTTTATATAATTTAAATTATATTTTTATTAATATGTGACAAAAGATGATATTAAATTAATTTGTGTCAAATTTTTCATAGAACGTACACTTTGATGATTAATTCTTATAATTTATTTATTCCAATTGTATTTTACTTACTTAATTATTGTTAAAGGATTGTGTTACATATTTATATTATAATCTAATTCGTTTTTTACCAAAATCTAACAAAAAAAATTGAGTTATTTCTCCATTCGACGGCCTATATAGTGTTTAAATGTGTAATAATTTTTAAAATTTTTCATAAATACAATGTAACGTTAGCACCTGTTAAAATAGCATTTTTATTTATTATTATGATATACAATGAGGAGGTTAATAGAAAATGTTTAGAGAAAAATGGTAGATAAATTTGTGTACATGATGTATATAGTCATAGATAGAAATAGTATAGAGTGGTGTAGCGCGTTAAGATGTGTGTGTGTTGGTCTCTGTATAATAACTACTGCCAGTTTTCTTTTTTTTTTTATTGTCTGTTGTAATATAATATATATTTATTAGATGTAATTTTAATAAATTTCGAGCGTTTTCGTTGGCTGTAAACGAAATTTTAAACGTTGTGTTTGTGAAGCATTCTTTTTTTTACTGAACAGAGGCGGTTCTATCTCGCATTAATATAAATGTACAATACTTAATGTTTTCTTAGATGTATAGTGACTTAAATTGCATAATGTTTAATTTAATGTATGTTGATGTGTTTGTATGTTACAGCGATGGTGATTAATTTAAATAATAATTATTATTAACGAAATATAAAATTTTGATGTAATATTTTCAGATAAATTCAGCAGATAACTTCCATATTTCTACTTTTCTAAGATTTGTCTTAATAATATTTCTGTTTCTCTATACTTTATCCTTGATTGTTACTTTATAAAGCACTATAAATTTTTGTTGACATTAATCGTGTAGTATTGTGTCGTTTTCAATTTAAATCCAATATTTACTGTGTAGCCTTATCAAACTATCTCGACTACTGCTCAAATTAAATGGAAGTGGTCTTTATAGATCGGATGATATTAAAATATTATTACTACATTTATCTAAACTTCGTAATAGTGTTCTAGTATCGTCCGCAGCTTGTTATCATGAGTATGAAGTAATTGTATTTAACAAACCGATGTAAATTTCAGTTATTAATAAAAAAAATGTTTACATAATCAGCTTTTTATTTATCAACTACGTGTTGTGTATAGCTTTTTTAAATTTCCTTTTTTCTGAGTGTTATTATCTTTAATAGGTCAAATTACATTATTCTCAAGGCATATGAGGATTTTCAAGGATGCTTTCGATTATAAAATATTTTGTAAATTTTTGAGGAAGTATATAAGTACCTAACAACTTAAAAAAATGGCGATCTATTTCCCCGAAGTCAATTAAATGTAGATAAAGATACTCCTTGTAACATTAAGTACTTTCAAGTAAAATTACAGTCAAATTAAACCTGCTTTTCATGATCAGCTGGAATAATCAAACAGAATTGGAACAGAAACATTTTAGAAAAATGCAGGCTTATATATTTTCATATGCGTTCAGCCAAAAAACTTAATTCTAAATTACCAGCAAACACTTCTATAATATTTATTAGTATTATTACAAACCCAACTGCTACGAATCCATCGCATAATAATCAGCGGCTCACTCACTGGTGATAGTATATCAAATCCCGGGAACACCGTCAAGTCTTAAGCAGCCTAACTGGTCTACTTGAATTTATTTGAAGTAAAAACGATTCTGCATAAGATAAATGTTATTCGGTTTAAGCTTTATGATCTGATGTTTATTCGTAGGAGTAGTTTGCTAATCTATGATGTAGCAATAAAATTAGAAGCTTATAGGATTTACAACTAGGGGGCTACTTTCCACACTTTCTGTGACGACACACTGTGGCATATCTCCTGTATTTGACAGTAAGTAAGAGTAGTTCTGATGACTTGACACTAAGTGTATAATGCCAATTGAATTTCCAATTTTAACGCTAACCTAAACCCATGTCACGACAGGCAATCGCATATTTGTACGTCAATCATCCATCCGGCCGGTTTCCATTAGTGACGTTACATGATATATCTGTCAAAATGGACGATATATTTTCCCTCCAAAATATTGGTTGTTAAGTAATGTTTGCTTGCAAACGTACGGTGACTATCTGTATATTCCAATTTAATAATTCATGCAATAGAGCCGATAACAAGACTTTTGTGTCAATTATAATTTGTTATCGTGACTGGATTAAAAATAATAATCGTTGACAAAGAAAACAAAACTTCTCAGCAATCCATGGATTCTCCGTCCTGGTGCCGGGTTCATCGCGTTGCAGGGAGAAGAGCTTCAACAGTGCCTGAGGCCTCGCGATCTAGGTACTGTTGAAGATTTAAAGACCCCTATCTAACATGCGTGAAACGCTCACCTCAAGAGTCCAACCTCTTCTCTCTACCTAGCCAAATTTGTAAAGAACCGATTAGGGCAGCTTTCAAAGTATTTAATTTCATTAAACCTTAACTGGAACGAAACTAACTTAAAATCTTTACAGCACAGAAGAAACGTGACGTTTATAATACAGAAGAAACCGTATAGTCAAAATAAGAAGTTAAATGCCTCGTAGAAGTTTTACGAACTCTTCATAAGATATTTCGTTATAGGACATTCGAATCGGAAATGATATTTGTAGGCAATTTTTACAAGCTTAGTAACATTGTGATTTCTTGTTCCTATTATGATAAGTCAATGAAATAAAAGTCGAAGAAGTAATAATAAAATAAAAACACAAAACGGTTGAGGTTCATAATGTAAAGGTCGGTAGAGTGTATCTGAGTCTCATTAGAGCCGTGTTCAAACGAGCGGGGCTAGTAAAGTAAATGTCGCGACATGATTGCTCGCTCTAACATTTGGTAAGTCCCTTCCCAACGTCCAATTAGGCGAATGGCTTTGTTTGTTAAGGTTATCGCCTGTTTATAGATGCCAAAATTAGGTTTAGGAGGATGTGGAACCTCATTTATATTGAACTCTTTATATATATTCGATGTTCACGATACAGAAAGGATTCAATGTAGATTTAAATACGGGACGTAGTCCTAAAACATTAATTAACAGTCATAAATTTATTTCAAACATAATATATAATTCAATGTGTTCTTTTTAATATAATTATCACTTTAAAAAACCTCAATTCATGACCCATCACTATCAAACTATCAAATAAAGTTCAACAACGATTTGTTACTAATTAGTTTACCTCGCTTAAACTAAAGGCAATACTTAAATTGTTATGTCAAAGTTTTATTAAGCTGGTTCCAATTAAAACATCGATACAAAGACCTCCTGGAACGTGTTTTTTTAAACGTAAATCACGTCACCTGACACAAAGTTAATTTTCACCGGCTAGAACAAATATTGTTTCAATTAGCGGAGTCAAGACAATTTTCTTTATGGGGCTCGGCTGCTCCCTGGCCCCATTCCCACCACCGAGGGTGGGGTTGAGTTGCGCTGAAAGCCGTCCCTCTTTCATACCACTGAATAGTTGAACGGCTAACAAACCGACGAACGCATATCAGACGACTGTAGATTTTCGACGACTCATACACAGTCATCAAAGTTGCTTTAGGATCATGCGTTTAACAGAAACTTTTTATTATATTTAATACAATATTTATATTAAATCCTATTCCAATCTGATGGTTACGTTCAGGAAACTTTAAATTTAATAATATTAAGGTCAAAGTCAAGTAATTTATCTCAAGTATTGCAATCGTAAATGTTTGTGTCGCGATAATTATATCAAAACAACGTATTTACCGTTCGTAGTGATGAAGCTGCTGCTCCTCGTCGTGATAACAACCACGTTATCAGGTAAGTTCAATGTATAAACATACTTTTACATATTAATAAAAGGAGGTTGACTCTTTGTAAAACCTTTTTTAAAAGCTATTATATTCATTTTTACACGCAACTCACAAACTAACTGGCCGGTAAATTTGTAATTGATGATTTTTTCAATGTCAAAACAATAATTTCAATAGAAAAATAGTGCTTAAAATATTTGTAACGACACTGGCAGAATATACTGTGCTCTTCTTGCACGGATGAAGGCCATATTTTAAATAAACAAACAAAAATATTTGCAAATCAGATAAAATACATAAATGAAATACTTAGAATTCATATTTTTGATTAAATTTTTTTTAATAACAATAAAATGGTTCACCAAGTTTTGATCGCCTTAAATTTATAATAAAATTATAAAGAGCATCATAAAGCTCCATTAAATCTGTCAAAATATTTTGTTACATACGTAACAATTTAAAGACGAGAGATATATTGTTTTGTAACTTGGCAACATTAACCGTTTTTTTATCTAGCCGGCACTTTTATTTTTTATTTTATCCTGAATATCAAAAGGATAATTATATTTTAGTCCTTAAAGTATACAAAATTCCAGGGTAAAATTCTTGCTTTTATATTATTGGCAACCGCTAATAACTCACTTCACTGAAATTACTCATTGTGTTGATAGAACCAAAATACATTTTATAAAAAAAATATATAAGGTTAATATAAATTAAAATTACATTACTTTGTTATATAATATTACGCACCATTTATAAAAAAAATATATAATAAAATGAGTCATTATCTTTTTTTTCACATTAACTTTACTAAGAATGTTTCGCATAAATTCATTTTATAAATATTTATAAAATAATGAAATAGTCAATCAGATTTATACGGACAAACTTATTAATTTATATAATAACATGAAGCAATGACTTTATAAGTTAATAATATTAAACTTAATATTTATTTATTTATTTCATTTTAATACTTTTTCAATAAATATAATCACAATATGAATGATATAAGTAAAACTATTACAGCAATTTATAATAAGGTTTTTTGTATTTGATAAACGTAATATAGAGATCGTTATTATCTTAGTCATGAAAGGAGAAGTATTATTATTTGTTTTTAATTACAGACATTAAATTATTATTTTTGATAAGCATATATTTAATAAATATAAACTTATTTGTTTTATCAACAAAAGTTTTCGTATCAATGTAAGACGTATTATGTCATATTAATAATATAACCGATAATTTATTTTAAACAGCATGACATTTACGAACCGATGACACTCTCAAAGCGATAGGGTTATACCAATAGGAAGTTTATAGAATACCACTTGGAATATTTGTAAAAGTCTTGACAAATATAATTTGATTTTTATTTAAACGTTTTTAAAATTACACTGTACTTTATAATGTATAGTTAAGAATATATATCAAGTCTCTGTTTGTACATTTTTAGTTTTAAAACCCCAAATAATTATTATTAAGTATGTATTAACAAAAATTGGACGGTTCAAAAATTTATTTATTTTATGTGAAAAAATATATTAAGCAAAGTGGACATGCCATATTTTTATATCGAATAAAAAACAAATAAATACATTCTACTATACTTTTTTTATTCACCCACGCACATACAATTACAAAATGTCAACATGACAAGCTACACGATTTCATAAATGGCGGAATGTCGAACAAATTAATATGATATATGTAGATAACATAGCTCATAATTTATTTACACCGTAAATAGTTTACGCGTTTTTGATTTATATTTTAATGTTAGTTGGGCCGTTTATTAAATATACATATTGATGGAAAAGTAATAAATTTAATTTATCATAAGTACAAAATTTATCTGAATAAGGTATAGTCCGTTAGACTTAAACTGAGCTTTGCATTTGTGTGACTGAAAGTAAAAGTAGAGTAAGACAAAAAACTTTAGAATTAAATATTATTATATTTTAAATAGATACATAACATAGGCGCTAGAGCTATTCTAGATTAAAAATAAAATAAGCAAAACTTGTTAAAGGCCAGATGAAATATTATGAATATTATGGAAAAGAAATTACTTATTAATTAATAAAAAAATTTGAAAAAAAAATGTAAAAGAAATTACTTATTAATTAATAAAAATTTTGAAAAAAATTTAAAATTTTTTCTTCACTTGACATTGCGTTTTTAACATTTGATTTCACTACCAACGCAAAGGGTGAAATGAGGAAGGTGTAGGGCGGAGTAAAAGCAGAATAAACCGGTTCAAAACTAGAAAAGAACATTTCATTCAAAAATTTGACATCACACCTACACTATCCGTGTACACTCACACAAATGCAAAGCTCAGCTTAAATCAAACGCACTATACCTAAAAGCAATTTATATTTTTTAAAAATTAAAAATAAAAAAAAACCTTGATGCTTGGTAATTTATATATTTTATACCTGCATCAGTATCAAGAGTTTTCTTAATATAAAAACATCCCAAGACCGTTGATGTTCCCACCATGCAGCCTTAACGTGCGAGCGGTGTTTCCAAGGGAATAGAGAGAGACGGGATCAGCTCCTGAGGGTTCAATGGGTGCGAGCGTGAGAAATATGGGGCGCTGATATTCCCTGTTTACCAGGACGACAGAAGATATAAGGATATAGCGTCGACTAGAGAGATAGAGACTCAATAAACATTTGGCCCACACCACAGTAAAATATGTATTTGGTTGAGGTTTCTTTAATCATAATTTTTTATTTACATTGTGTTATTAATGAGTTTATGTTTACGTACGTGGTTACATTATGAAAAATTTCGAAATGTATTTTTATATATTCAAAGAATTAAATAATGTAAAGTTTTTCCATTTAATAATATAAATAATACCATAGAACTAAAAAATACTGGTGATTATTTTCATGGTCATCGCCCAGCCCTTTCACTATTAGGTATATTTTTTACGGTTTGATGGGGACGTTAAAGCTGAAAGTCATAACGCCATAAGGCGTCTCCCCGGCACTCCCCTGACATTTATCCGTACCCATAAAAATAAATGTCTACCAGGGCAGCATAGCTCGTGAGGGCTCCATTTATAAAGGTCCCTCCACACCCCTTCCCCCGCCTCCCTCTACACCTCCCCCGAACGGCCCAGTAACCCGTTTACCCCGCATTCACGGGACTTACTATTTTATATAAAATATCAACCAGGTTTTATTACTCACCATAGAGTAGAGTATTGACATAAATTGCCTTAAATTTTCAGCTTTATATAATATTTAAATAAAAGATTTATAATTTCGTCAATATACTAATATAATTTGATTGTTTTGTTCTAACCCGTATACAATGAAAGCAGTTCGTATCTGTAATAACTGGTAAGGAGGTCACGTCATTTCCGTTGCGTGTCCAGTGACTAATGATCTCTTGTTTATTGCTCGTCCACTATCTACTGGTCTAGCGGAATGCTAAAATAAAATCATTTTTATTATACATACTTACACTCAAATAAAGTTTTACGTGAACTTTGAACTTTGTAAAGTTAATATTATCCTTATCAATATTACTATAAAATACAATCGCATGAATTACTCAACTTTTTTATTATTTAACATATTCGTATACCTAGTATTCTTTTAGGCATGCTTATAAGGAAATATTTACATTCAGATTTTTTTCTCCAATATATTTTACCCAATATATTTTTTAATTTAACATGTGTTAGAGATTTAAATTTGAATAATAAAAATGTTGAAATTACTTTGAATTTTATAATTAAAAAATATATATAAAAATTAATTGCTGTTCGTTAGTCTCACTAAAACTCGAGAACGGCTAAACGGATTTATTTTATCTTAGTCTTGAAATGTTCGTGGAGGTTCAGCGAAGGTTTAAATGCTAAAAAAAATTATTCATTTCCGGGGAAAACCTTAAAAACAGCCCTATTCTATTTCCCAGACAAATGTTTCTTTTGACATTAGATTTGACAACTAACTAATATGTCAATTATTCTGTCGCACTTCAGAACACGGAGATTTATATATGTATATACATTTTATTTTGTTTGTCAATTTGTTCCAACTAATCGCTATATCAGCTCAACCGATTTTGACAGGATTTTAAATCAGAGGTATTTCAATGTTACAAGTAGCAGAGGATGCTTTTTTTAAATAAATTCAAAAACGAGGAGTCCTCGATAAGACGGAATGTTTGTAAGGCTTTAATTGAAGGTTGATAATTTACAATATTTTTTAGGTTTATAAGGTAAAAATAAAAAAGAGCCAGTCCACATAAGGCGAAGAAAAGAGCAATTGTAAATATGCACATCGCTTCGAGAGCGGCTTTATTCGGTATCTGAGTCATGCGACACTCGAAACAGTGCATATAACACACGACACATCAAAATCATATGACCAATACATGACAGAATACAACACCGACACATAACGCAGTGTACACAACACACGACAGAGAGTACACAACAGTCAGCATCCTACAACAACTACAAACGACAGAAAACAAACAACAAAACATCACAGGACACAAGACAGTCTACATGCGTACAGAGACAGCGCTCTGCGGGCACAGTTCCTCCACCGCCGCTGGTGTCTGTGCGCCTGGTGCTGTGGCCGCCTGCCCCGGCCCGGCCGGCCGGCCACTTGGCAACCAACCAGCCAGGCGCTCAAACACACAGGCAAGGATAGCGTTATATGAACAAATAATAATGACACACACAGTCTGGTAACTTATTAAAGGAATTTGATAAAATATTTGATTACATACATCTGCAAAAAATATTTAATAATATAAATTCTTGAAAATCGTCGGAAATATTTGAGATCCTTCCTTTCCATCTTCTTTTACAACTTTGTTTCCCGTAACATAGAGACCCTTTTCCAAGACAAAGAATGTGTCGAACGAATTCTCCGAACACTGCTTCTAAGTTATGCTGCCCTGGTCGATCGAATTCAACAAAGTTTAACCCTTTCCTCTGAAACCAGACGTTATTTTTAAACTCTTAGGAGATTCATTCACACTTTAAGGGGAAGCTTAAAAATATGTTTATGGTGATTGTTTGGACAGGTGATGTATTTATTTTAAACCGCTCCACCAATGATCGCAGAGGGTTTAATTTCCGTCCTCGTAACTGAGACCCACCCACCTCACAGCTTATGAAGTCCTGATCAGGATAGATGGTAAGCTTTCAGGAGGAGAAATGTGCGCAAGTCAAAACATACTTGCTGTCTCGCCAACGAAGGGAATACGAAGAAAGAAACGTTCAGTCCCTTTCGCGTTAGCCCTTACAAACAACGCTACGAGAATATGCTACCCTAATACTTCGTCGATCTAATTACGCATATCATTATTCTTTTTTATTTTTAGAACGGATCGTCCTTTCGATAATTAAAACGTATGCAATTTACAGAATTAGCTTTTGTGAATAGATAAATAAATAAACTTGGTAACATTTTTAGCTGCGTTTTAAATATTCCAATTTATATAATAAATATCAAAAAACTTATTTATGTAAAGTCTAAATTTAGTGTTTGCTGAATAAACTTCTTCATTTTAGTTCGTAGATTCCCCATCGAGTCGCTCCCCGCAGAGCCTGAGTGTCGTTTCATTCACCTGTTTTCAACCGATACATCCTGCCCTATAGCTTCGGACACGTATTATAAAGTATTGATTTCTGTTAAGTTAACCTTCTCGTCGTCTCTGCAGCCTTAGTATTTTCCGACTGGTTCGACATTATCAGTGATCGCCGATACATTTCCAATAACCGAAATAGGGCTGACTATCGATACAAAAAAGGTCATTCCAGAAACAACCCTACTTTATATAACATAAGACATATTATGGCTTGCCACTTTTAAATATTAAATAAATGTTTTTTTAAAATCTGATTTGGGTCATTTTTCCAAAACCACATAATAAATATAATTGACCAAACAATGTAGGTATGTAAACAAACTATTTTTTTTAATAACCGGATGGGGAAAGCTCTTGTTAAATTAAAATTAAATTTAAATTGTTAATGTTCTCCCACAAACGAGGCGGATCCGCTACGACTGTATCGACGTTGGTACCAGGAGAACATGAACGGGCAGCAGTTACACGACTGTACTAAGAACAGCTGACACATCTGTCAGACGTGAAGCCCTTCGAAACATAACAACTTTAAGTTGTCATAATAATATACTCGACTATATCTTATTAGGGCTGTGTATGTATGTATGTGTGTGTGGGTACCAGTGTGTATTGTATTTTCAGAATATTTGATATATATGTAATTTGAATTTTAATAAGAAAAGACTGAAAAAAGATGGTTGATTATACTTAATGTTTTAACTGCCATGTTATAAACATACAACAATCATTGATAATTGTATGTTATATCCATACTCATGACTCATGAGTTTGAATGAACTGTAAACTTTATATATTTTTTATACTTGAAACTTTTAATCATGTGTAAAGGAAATTTGTAGAGTTTATCTGGAATATAAACGGGGTAATTAGTCAGTCTTAAAAATAAGGCAGATAATATGCACCTCAGTAAAGTCAAAAATAAAAAAACATTTTCCGTTTCATTCGAATGTTTCTTAACACCCACACACACAGACACATAACCCACATGCATAAACACACACAGCCTCACACCCACAGCCGTACATTCCTTAGGGCACGGGACCTTGATGCGTATCTTGCGTAAGTTGGTCTCTCCCCATTGGTCGATGAGACCACGCCTCGTGCGTACAAACCTTGAAGTAGCTGTGACCGGCCCTTGCGAGGCCCTTATTAAACTCCTCGTATTCTTTGCGTTCCTGGTATTCTGTGTTTTATTATAAATAATTTAAAAGGGCTCTGTCAATAAAATAATAATTTATTTGGAATTAAGTGAGACCTATTATTTATTATTAAATCTCTGTTTTCTCCCCGGATAAAAGACAAAGGCGGGATGCAAATTATTAGTAATTAAACGATCAAATAAAGACGGACCCGCTAAGGGAAATTCTTAAGCGAGAAATAATGGACATGTCACTCCCAATGACTTTGTGTACCAGGAATACATGGCTTGGGTGGAGATGGTTCTGAGAAAGGGATCCCTAGGTTGGTTTTGTTTCATCCTATGCGCCCTTCGTTGCAAAAAAAATAAACCAAAGAACGTAAGAAAAAAGAAGAACAAAATGGCCCGATTCCGTATTGTTCTACTAGGATAACATAAAGAAAGAAGAAATGTTACAGAAGGATGAACTTACCAGGTGCGGATACTCGACTCACGGAATGGAAGAAAAAGTTACCAAGAAAGGTCTTTCCATAAAAGTTTGTTTCGTGTTGAATGCAAAAATTTCTCATTTTTATTAACTCGATAAAGATTTACGAGCAGAGTGGACGCAACTGGACTTGAAAGTATTGAACTTTTATAGTGAATTAATTGTTATATTGTATAAATACACTATAAATAAACTACATACAGTATATCTGCGTTGAAACTCTTTAATTTTATTTATTAACTTAAACTTCAATTAGAGGTATTAAAGGCTATTATTTTATTTTCAACATGTGTATCTGTTTATTTGATCTCAGCTACGCAAAAGGTAGGTACATTAGTCAAGTAATAAAATTTTGGTAAATCAATGGGAAAATAATAAATATACATATATGTATATTCTAAGATCCATTTTGTACCATTTTCAAGAGATTAAATTTTATATGTTTATTTAACCATCTATGTACATGTGTCTTATAAATTAATTTTATTTGACGATATGTATTTTTCCGAAATCAAACTGAGTCTACTATTTATTTACGATTCCGGTATAAATTGTTGTAAATGAAACTTTTATTAAATAGTAATTTTTTGGAACTTACTTCTACAGTTGTCGTATTTGTCCTTAAATGTGTGCGAAAATACAACTCCAGTTACATACAGTTTTGTGGAAGGATAGCACACACACATATATAACAACACCCTACGAGTGTGGGGATCATACTCGGGCGGGTCATGTGTGACATTCGACCTCCAGTGCGGCGATGCTCCCCTGGTACATGTAGCCCACATGTTCAACCCTTCTGACACGTGGCAGCCAACACAGACGTGTGTGTTGTCTGACTAGCAAAACAAATTAAATTAATGTTTTGCATCTGAACTAAAAATAATTTACGTTAAGAACGTAATGCACCATATCTGAATTTCATAATTCTTCACTCATCAAAACAGTTTCAAAATGAAACTAACTAACTATGTTGCACATGCAGATGTCATAAAAATTATAAGAAATAAATAAATAATTTAATCGGTTAAGTAAACTAGGTCGTGTTTACTTTAAACACGCCCATAAACGCAGTGACATGCGTCAAAGCTGACTGTGCTACCAAGACATCAGCGGTCCCGAGAGATAAAGCCCTCATACCACTTTTCCTTGAAAGCAAATAATGCAAGACACGCGATAGAAGAATGCAACTGATTATATCCGTCTCATTTCCGCTCACGAGATGCATTGAATTATTATATTTTTGTCTCACACCGCGCACCACGCTTGCGTGTTGCAGTGGTTCAACTTGAACCGGTCTTTCGTTACTCTGGGAAAAGCACTGCAACTTGGCACTTGTTTGAAAGGAATAAATTTCATTTAATGAATTAAAAAATATGAGTTAAAAGAAATATTACTGAAAAAAAAATTAAAACGAGTGTGCTTTAGAATACACGACCGAAGTAAAACTTTTTTCACTCCGTCTGTATGTAATACGTATATGCATTTGTTTATGTATGTATGTATAATACAGACATGTTATAAACAAACACACGTATTAATTTTGTACTAATATTTGAATTCATTTTGGGTTATCATTAATAAATTAATATTTTTAAATATATAATATGTAGATACATCAGTAAATTTGAGCGCAGAATAACTATTTTTCCCCTCGCCCTTACAGTAATCTAGGAACCGTAATACTCTCTCTATCTACCTTTACTAACTTTTATCTACTTCTCATTTTCGTTCGACTTTCCCGATCGCACTTTTCGTAACGCTCGCGTCACGCGTTCATCAGCTTACTCCCAAGTGTGCGCAAAAAGATTTTACTTCAAAAAATATTATATACCTAATTATTCTCATCTATATGAAAATCGAAGTGTACAATTTTTTTCATATTGGTTTTTGTTAAAAGTTTAATAACTTTAGTCCAATACATATTATATAATATATAATAATAAGGGCCGCGGTGGCCTACGAAAATATAAAACATAAAAAAATTACTCTTTTGCTCACACAACTGCAGAACTGTCTTAACCCAAAGGAACTCTACATATTAAAGGTACGTCACGTAGGTATATTATATGTGTTCTACATTATTAGGGAACCAACCAATAATCATCATCATCTCTTTCTCAAACAAATTTTTAATAAATAAAAAATAAATAAAATAAATGAGTTCCTATTTGGATGTATCTTTAGGCAAGTTGGAATAAGTAAAGGTACCAGGAAAACATAAACCGTTGAAGTTGTTACAATGTTTCATTTATATACCTTCTCGCATGCAATAGGAACCTATTACTAAACGTTCTAGTTGGATACTTTCTGCTGATTCAGTTACCCTAGTAACTCGTATTCTAAAACAAGAAGTCAATCAGTCATTTTGTCTGTCTGTGGTCACACAGTTTTAATTGTAAATGGTAAAAACCTGAAAATGCATAGTTAAAATTAATTATTCTTATTACAAATCATAATTTATTTACCTAAGTGCTACCTTATATTTTAATTGATCCTTATTATCAGAGATATTCAACTTACAGTCGCCGCCTAGATCTTCCTTATACAATTCATCGTTACTCCTGGCTACCTATGAGATCCTGGTGAAAAATGACGTCATATGACGCAATCCCAACCCCGCCGCCAAGTATTTAAATTAATTAAATAAAAGCTACTTTAATTATTTTATGACAAATCTCTAAAAACAATCATATATTTTAAAATAATAACTTAATTAAAAGAAATTTAAAAGAATTATTTAATTTTTAATGTTTATTATTTATTACATGAAAAAAAAACAATAATAATTATATTCATTTTAAAAACATATTCGGCCCCTTTCCCTTTATTATTTAAACACGAATGGAAAATTCATTAAATAAACTTAAACTTTATCGAAGCCAAGCTACATCGAAGTAAAATAATGTTGCCTGTGTCCTGCACAGAAACTTAATCTCCTGTCGACCTATATCTCCCTGGTATTAAAAGGGAGCAAACGATTGTTTTCACGCACACGCATTATTTTATTGTCAAACCGTTCCGTCTCACTCCTTTCTCGTACAGGTTCAGAAAAAAAAACCGGTGCGTTGTATTGAACGTAATAAACAAACAAATAAATATAAGTTGCATGCATACAAAGTGAACGGCCGCTCCGTATGCAGCGCGTTCGTTGGCTCGTTATCCTTGAGCGCTTGTCCTTTCGCAGGACGAAGTGGCACGAGCAACCTCTTATAATGATTTGCCGCCCTAGTATATCGCAGGATATTTTGTCCCTTTGGGAGACGTTTTGAGTCTTCCATCCCAAGGGATAAAAATAATACTTGTTCCTTGGATGTAAAAGATTAAAACGGTTTTTAATGTTTATTTGTTTTATTTATAATGTAATAATGTTAATTGTTTGTTAAAAATAAATTTACTGGATAGTCTAAAATAATTTAATTAAACAACTTTATTTTAATTATTTTCTTTTTTTATGATCTTAACACAAAAGATAACATTTAAGAAAAAACACACAAGAACGAACACACATTTAAGAAAAACACACATTTAAAATTATATACAACGTAAACATTATTTATTAATAAAAAATATTTTTATATAATAAAAACCTGTTAAAAATTGAAGCCAACTAACTACAAAGGATAAAGGAGATGAACCGAAAGCGATCTCTTCTAAACTTCTGAGATCCTGATAATTGTTGACGTCATTCCAATAGAATCCATCCCTCGGGTACCTCCCAAATACATCCCCTGAACCAACCTACGGACTTTCTGGACTTGATTTTTAAGCACGTTAGTTATTTTATCCCTGTTTTATATTGTTATATTTAGTTCATCGTTTCGTCTTACTCAATTAATAAAAAAGCAATACATATGTATGTACTTTTTTCTTTTAAATTTTAGTTTGGTTTCATAATTATTCTATCATTTTATTAATATATCTGAGGCTCTCTCGCTCCTACCCAACAGTATGTATACCCATCTTCCTCTCTCCGAATCATTTCAAAGCGCCGCCCAGGCCGGGTTCAGAAAGTAACAGTGTCAAAGGGAGCGGGTGAGAGCGAGAGGCCACGCATGCGCCCTACAGGTTCCTCTTCTAACAAACGAGCTTTCGAATGCTTTCGTTTTGGTAGACCCCTCACGAGTTCTGTGTTCCTGGTACGTTCCCGCGCCAGTACTGACGTTGTCGCTAGCCGCTTTCTCCTTTTATTAAATTTTGTATGCGAAGGAATGTGAGAATTTTACGGTGGTGTATTTTTTTATTTTTCACGTTTAAAATAAAAACTAGCGTAGTTTATTTAAGAGGACTCCAAAGGACTCCAAACTCTCCAACACGCACAGGATAAATATGGTATAAATTATATATATTTATTACGTTACAGAATATTTGTCCGCACGTGTGACTCCAACAACGTCCATTCCCAGTTCTCCATCGTCTCCAACGCCAGCGACCTTACTCATCAGCCAGGAGTTGCCCACAGTGCCTCAGCCTCCTCAGATATGTTCAGAAGCCGCCAACCCGAACACTCCTTTGAGCAGACTGCGGATCGCGATGAAAAATATAACTCAGTTGAATGCATTCTATGACGCGTTCCTAGTGTTCTTCAGTGACGAACACCTGGTACATATATCCTCAAGTAATCTTAATCACAGTCATGAAATAAAAATCCATGGATTCATGACTTTTTGACTAAGACGAACATTTGATTAATTATACTTATTTGTTTACTGTATTGACCGGAATGAAATCATAACCTACAATGCTAATGAAAAATATAAAGTTAGTGTAATACATACCAGCGGTATCTTAGAAAAAATATTTTCCTCTAACTAGAATCAAGATTAGAGAAATTGCCTTGTATGTAGAATACAACAATATTGAATACATACGTAAATAAAAAAAAATTAAGATATTTATAGATACATTAATTTATTGAATCCGCATTAAAACAAGTAAAAAATTTGTCGTGTATTTTATCTGTATCATATACATTATTCTATATTTTGTATTCATACCACACTTAAATGTTACTTGATAGAATAAAATTTAAAGAATAACTTCTTAGCCTTTACCAGCATAATGAAATAAAAACAGAATAAAAATTAATTAATCTATATTTTTTTTGTTGTATGAAAAAAAATAGTTTATTTAATTTTATTCCGGATGCAAGCAGAATACATATACCTACCTATTACAACTTTAGAAGGATTAAGAATTCTGTAAGAGTAAATTACAATCATTTCTTTTACTTTTTCTTAGAAAATTCTCTTCATTTCTTTCTTTTTAAAAGATTAGATCAGTATCCAATAAATTGCATTTAACTTAGAGTGAAGAACCAGCGCCAGAGGAGCGTCGTTTGGAGTACATCAGCGGTTGGGAAGGTTCTGGAACAGCTGCCGTATTGGCTGACGGCGGTGCTGCCATCTGGGTACCCTCGGGGGAAGTGAGACGAGCTCGTGACTCACTGTCCTGCGCCTGGCTCGTGTTGGATGAAAACGATCCGAGCCAACCATCCATCGCCGAATGGATTAGCGTAAGTCACACATATAGTTTTTATTAGCACCAATTTCAATAAGACCTTTACGTGATATAGATTTACCATTGAAACTCACTGTTTACACCCTTTTCATTATAAGAAAACTAACGTTCGAGATCGACAATTATTTTGATAGTATGTAACATAAAAGTTTAATGAGATCTAAGATTTTCGCGAGTAACATTTAAATGAAACTAATATTTTCGGATTTTACTTCGCCTTTTATTTTTGATCAGAAACTACACACTCCCGACGTTTCGGCCACTTTTCAGCAACCGTGATCATGGGCAGACATCTCATTTGTAGTATCGAGTATGTAGTTTCTAATCAAAAATAAAACGCGAAGTAAAATCCGAAAATATTAGTTTCATGTAAACATAAACAGTTTCATTTGAAGCAGGAACATCCTGGAAGGAACGGTCGTGTGGGTGGTGATGCGAGGTTGATCTCAGCTGCTGAATGGCATTTGTTAACGGCGAGCCTCTCACAAGAAGGTCTTCAATTGGTCCATGTACCGACCCTAGTAGACCAGCTCTGGGATACGGAAATTGATCCGGCGAAGAGACGACCGGAATTCTCAAGGATTGTCGCTAATTTACACAATATAGATTACACAGGTATTGTTTATGTTTATTACTTAGACCATTTTTCTTTCAAATGGTGGGTCGTTGTCCCTTGGTTGAATGGAAATTTTGAGGGTATCGAATTTTCGAACTTACTGAGAGATAGTGAAAAAGAAAATAAAGAATTACGAAGTATCACATAAGTTTCAAATAATTAAATTAATAAAACTAATCACAAAATAAAAGAAACAAAAAAATCACAGAAGGGAGGGCCTATAACGAAATAATCTAGAGTCATGAAAAAGGTTAATATCTTTATACTAGTCCGGAATATCTTTATACTCTTGTGAATTATTATGCGGCAGTGATGAAAATTCAAGAAATATACTATGTATATCAATGATCACGCTCTTGACAATGTGGTCACGAAAATCTATTTCATCAGTTTGCTTTGTAAAGTACTGTCCCTTTCTATATCTCATTTTCATAGAGTTTTATTGTAAGCGACTATAAAACATAATATTATATTATATAATAATAATCAGGTGTATCCTGGCGTGAAAAAGTGCAAGCTGTTAGAAACGAATTACGACCTCTTGGTTCAGAGGCGATGGTAGTAACCGCCTTAGACGAGGTCGCTTGGCTCCTCAACATACGCGGCAAAGACATTCCGTATGCTCCTCTTCTAAAAGCATTCGTCGTTATTGGCTCTAAAGACGTCAGAGTTTATGCCCCGGCCGGCAAATTATCTTTACCAGTCCGAGAGGCGCTTGGCGTATACAATTGTTACGCTAACACTAATAACTGCACAAGGTAAAGATACGTAGATTAGAATAAATCTTTATGCCTTATAAATATTTAACCTAGAGTTATATTTACAGAGTAAACGAATATAAAACTATATACTCGGATTTGAGACGAGCTACTGAATCGAAAATTCTTGTACCAACCGCGGGGACATTCCAACGCGGTGCATCAGCGGCCATCTTGCAAAGCGTACCACAAACGAAGCGGGTATCTCAATTATCTCCAATAATATATCTAAAGGCGCAGAAAAATCAAGCGGAGATCAAAGGTATGCGCAAAGCGCATTTACGTGATGCTGTAGCTATGAGCACGGTACTCAGTTATATGGAGGGCATGGTAAGATTAAGGAATATTTCTTTATAAATAGTTCGTCATGAACTAGAATTATCCACAACAAACTTACAACATATTTACCATAAGTTTAAAGCGCCAGTTTACATAAGTAGATCTTTCGGTTTTCATGTCAAACCTTTATTAATATTGCCTGTAAAGATTTATGTTTAAATAACTGAAAACTCTTTCTAAGTTTTTTCCTCAATGCAACCTTTTAGTAAGATAAGAGAGAATATTTGAAGCTCAAATAATTAGGAGTCTTTTGTTATTAAAAATCTATTGTGATCGACATTTTCTTATTATCAGGGAAAGTCAAGTTTAACGGAGAAGTCAGTAGCTATGAAGGTAGATCTCACGCGTGCTACCCAGGCTGGTTATGTAGGTCTGTCAATGCAGACAAGAGTGTCCTTCGGACCTAATGCTGCTGAATCTGAGTATAAGGTCACTAATACATCCAATAGAAGAATATTCACTAATTCAACGCTCGTCATACAATCGGGAGGACAGTATGACGGTAAGTTATATTGTGTCATGTTCCATTCACACCTCCATAATATGAGCTGTGTAGACTTATGGTACCAGTGTTGGTTCAATTTTAAGACTGAGCCTTTCAGTCCCAAACATCGTAAATGGGTCAAATAGCTGACCAATACCTCTCGTAATCCTTAGCGTAAAGTCCAATTATACTGAAAATAATACACGTATTGAAAAATTTAAACCCATTTTAAATTCTATACTTGTGGACCATTTCAAAAAAGGTCTAAGTCAAATTAAATTTAATTTAAATAAAAAAATGTAATTATTAAAAACTTATAAAAAACTAGTGCTTTTAACCATAGTTCTAAAGTCTTTGCGTAAAAGCATTGACGTACTGCACAAAAAAATTAATTAAAATTTAAAACTAATCAACCTATTTTCAAAACTAAGTTAATTGAGACATTTCACTCCACATCAATTCCTACTCTAGAGGGCACTACCGTAGTAACCCGTACTCTACACTACGGCAACCCCACTCGTGACGAGCGTAAGGCTTACACGACAGTACTGCGTTCTCTGTCAGCATTGTCAATGCTGCAGGCTCCGTCTACTCTGCCCGCCGCCCACGCTGATCCTCTCGCTAGGGCTCCACTGTGGAATCACAAGCAAGACTACATCCCGCCAACGGGACACGGAGTTGGCGCTGCCTTAAACAGACGAGAAGGTAATGTTATTCTAAATGTGCTTCTAAATCATAGAATATAATTTGAATCTCATAATTAACTCTTACTTGTATCCAGATCCTGTGGTTATCGATTATCGTCAAGACACCAATCTACATCCATTCAGAGAGGGATACTTCATCACTAGTGGTAACGACAAATCATTTCATTATTATTTTTTAATATACTTATTATATTGCCATACTTCTGAAGCGTGGATTACCGGTTAGTTTTCAGAGCTAAACGAATGTATGCTTAATATAATATGTTACCATCAACGCCATCTGTGAGCTATGTCACGTAACTTTATAGATATTAAATTCCGTATTTCCAAAGACTCTAAAGGTTGCAGTAGATAATTGGAAAACAATTGCTTGAGAAAATACCAAATATCCACACGTACCTACATACTATCTCGCTTATAATAAAAGCCTGATGTAATTCCTATAATGCTTATATGTATTAACAAATCTTAATTTTAGAACCCGCCTGGTATGAAAGCGGAAAATTTGGTGTTAAATTGGGCAATGTCTTAGAAGTGGTTCCGAGGACTGGAGGATACCTGGGCTTCAGAGAGGCTACATTGTTGCCTTTCGAGCCTAAATTGATTGACAAAAACCTACTCACTGAATACGAGGTAAAAACGTCTTAACTTCTTTTAAGCCGCTATACGGTTTGTTTAACATCCGTTCTGTGAGTTAAATATTCTGGTCCTTTATAAAAAAAAACAGTGTCACGAAAGGGAACTATGATTATGAGAACATCTTAATTTTGTCATCAAATATTTGATCCGTTTTTGTTAACGTGTAATAATTTTTATTTTTTTTTATTCCGAGAAGTTAAGGATTTATTTATTTATTTTTTTATATAAATATTTTATCTTAAATTTTTACAGGATAGAAGGTATTAAGTTTATTTTATTTTGTAAAATGTAGATTTTTATATTTTCGTTGTTGATCATTAATTGAATGTATTATGATGCGATGTAAGATAATTCAGTTCCTACCGTATTCGTAGATTAATTTCCCTTCCCTGTATTAAAAAACATGACATAAGAGTCTTTATAATTAATATATTTCAAATGATGATGATCAGTGACGAAAAAATGTCTCATCATTAAGAGTATAGAACACTAACATAGAACACTTTGCTTTTACGTGGCTTAAGTATATTAACATTGAAACAAGCCCTTTTAAGGACCCTGTAGCTTCCTACAAGAATATAAATAACTGCATAGAGGCTCATAATTGTTCCTGAGCGCTTTATCAAATTAAATATTTTTTTAAACTTGTCATGTTCGATTCAGTAAGTAACTTATCAGAAAATACGATTCACAGAAGATAATCCTTTTCTTTTTACAAAATAACATTATACATGTTATGTAATAATTTCTTCTTAATAATTTATCATCAGATCAATTGGCTAAATACATACAACGACCGAATAAGGAAAACCGTGGGACCCGAATTAATGGACCAAGGATTAACAGACGTTTACTACTGGATGATGAACAAAACTATCAAAGTAGAATCACCAAGAACCAAGAAATATACAAACTCCGCCTCTTCTACATATTTAAAAGTGCCTTTAGTTTTTGTCTTAGCAATTACTATTAATTACGGTTGATTGCTATTATAAAACTTTTTTTGTGTTTAATGTTTCTATGTATGGAGATCTAGGAATTAATATCGAATAGGATGTTTCTGGTCAAATTATGTTCCCTAATTAGATATGAATTATGATATATATTTAACATATGATTTTAGATAGTTAAAATAATAATTACAGTATGAAACAAATTGATATGTTGTGTAATTGTATTTTCATAGATGTACTTTCGCACCTTTTAGAGTAGAAATCATCTAATTTATACTAGAATATATGATTTGTTAATTGTAAACAATAATTTATATTAAATAACTGGAAAAATATTTACATATTGTGTAAGCACCAAAGACTGTACAAAACCGTTTCTTTTAAGTGCCTTGCTTACATATACAATCATTAATTTAAGGAGATATATATTTATAAAAATTATATACAAAATATATTTGTATTAGGCTATAGCACCGAGTGCCTTAAACAGTAGGGTGTAAATTGCTTTTAGTCTTATATTATTCTTAGTAAATATTTTCAATAAAACTGTAGTGAATTTTGATAGTTTTATCAAATTAGCAATATTGGTAGATATATGAAAAATATGTACTTTTAGATATGATAAATGTTATTGTTTTAACAGTTAAGTTGTTAGTATTTATGTATAAAAGAATGGCTTTATCATACAATTTATTATTAGTGAACAAATTCTTATTAGTTTTGCGTATGTGATGTACTATGAAATAAATGCTTTCTTTTTAGACAAAATTTATTAAGTATTTTGTAATAATTAAAATTATCTTAAGTAATTTTAATCAATATAGTAGCTATGCTTCTATATCGCAACACTGCCATACATATCATAGAGTGCAATAAATGAAACAAAAAATGTGTGTATTTTTATTGGTCCGTAATATATTAATCAACCGTTCAGGTTTCCAAGTAATTTTATTTTTCCCCTTTATACATAATTTATTATGGAATACATTTAGCTTCACTCTAATAAGTAATACTTAAATAAAGTATCAATGAACTTAATACACCTGACTATTAAATATTAGTTACATATAAAACTTATTTTATATTGTAATAAGAGTACTATTTTAGTTAGAAAGTGATTTGTGTGATCAATATGATTTTTTTATTCCTATCTCATTAAAAATATATTGCACAAACATATAATACTGATATTTTATTATATAAAGCAAAGCATAAGCTCAAAAAAAAAAAAAAATATGAATCATCAAACAATGCACTGGTTAATATGATGTTACAAATCAAAAATTAAATATTTCAGAGCAGTTTTCTTAATGTACATTAATTTTATATTACTCAGTCTTGAATAACTTGTAGTTTAATAGATTTCATATACAAAAGCTCTAGTGCAAATATCACAGTACAGAATGCAGTGTTCAAATAAATAATGAAATTATGACAAAACAACTGATATCTTATAATTTATTAAAACAAACATAACAGTTAACTTATGTTAAACAGATTATATATTAATATCAATATAAATAATGGTGCTTCATTTAAGCTGTGACGTCACTAGATTTGTTAAATTTCGAGCCCTCAAGTTGTGAAAATCCCTTCATCTTCTCAAATCTACCATTTCAACTGGCGCTGAATCATCGAGCTTTGTGTGAGTTACACTCTGTAAATAAAAAAAACAGTTAAAATAAATGAAAAAATTATTAAATTTTATTCATAACTGTAACATTAAGCAGACTTTAAAAATTAACTTATTTTTATATAACTTTCATATGGTATGTATTTTTAAGTAACATTTATAATGGATACTGAATTTTTTTTTTAGTACAATATAATATTGTAAATGCAAATACACATTCATAGTACTTAAAACATACATAATGTGCATGACTGATAACTGATAATATATCAAAAGATTTAAATAAAAATAATATTTTTATTTACTACATGTTTTTATTATTTCAACAACATACTCTCGTTTATTCTTATCTTATCTACATGTGACCACGGTTGCTGTAAAATAACCAAACGTCTAAACGTCGGTCTAAATAATTAAAAAAGCAAAATATTCGTTTTAACTTCATGAATTTTTACGAAAGTCTTAGATGTCATTATACCAAAAGATTTTATTCATTTATAATAAGAATTTTAATTATTTCTGATAATTATTATCAATTGGGAACATAATATATACATACATAGAACAGCGGTGGATCTGAAGGGTGTGGATGAAAGCCTGGCTGACGGCACTTGGCTATGAATGACATGCCGTGATCCTGAGTTAGTGCAAAGTAACCGGTCCTAGAGAAAATAAACAAATATTATACATATATATATAACATAACATATGTCTATTTTATAGTCATCCTTGATATTGAAAATAGTATACATAACTATTAATGATGTACTTAAATGTATATGAGGGTAGGAATAGTAATATCTGGTGCAAAACTAGATCTTATACAGTATGATTTGCTTATAGTTATAGAACAAACTTCTTATCACATTCTACTACACAATTTAGTAAGCACTATATGATATACTCTTCTTCTACCAAGCAATTTTCCCAGCTTTAGCCAGGGTCTGCCTTAAATGTGTGAATAGTTTTGGCTAATTGTTTTTACGACCGGCCGCCTGCCTGACATCAACCCTCTTTTGGGAATGCATTACTCAGTGATGTCTAAATTCTCTTAGAAAGTACATATGATTCGGAAAAATCACATTGGTACTTGTCCGGGCCAGGATCGAACCCGCGCCCTCGAGCTTTAGAGGCGGGCCTTTTAACCACTAGGCCACCACTGACTGTCACTATGTTATATACTATATAGTGTAATTAGACTAACTCTTGATATTTTGGTGCGCAGACTATAGCAATGGCTTCTGGCATCATTAGCTGGTAGGAGCATTGTGTGTGAAGATCCACAGATGAAAGAAATGCTGTTTGGGTCGGATGGGTCTGGAATTAAAATATTTACTTATGTACTATTATTTGATATTGAGATTCTATTTCTCTCAGATTTAATAAATATGTAATATGGACAATTACTTATAATAATTCATAAAAAAAACCTGATAATTACTTTGTTGAAAAATATTAAGTGTGAATTCGTGTCAAATACATAATACATACTTTACATATGCAAACTTTTTCAAAGTGGAAAAATTTTGATAATACAGATAATATTACATCAAATTGCAGGCAACACTTAAGTGCTATAACTCATTATCTGTCTTGTCATGAATTAAATAATTCGAGAAATCAATTAATCCAATTAAAATATATTATGTGACCAATACATACATGTATCCAACCCAAGGTGATGAGATTATGTTTGTCCTGATATTCAAAGATATCTTCCTCATTGTTTGTACTACATGAATCCGATGTGCCTGTCTGTTTGGGCACCACTACATGGGTTATTTTCAATTGATTTTGTTCCTGTAGAATTAATACCGCTCTTGAGATCACAGTGTGATACAAACCTTATTGATTAATATTGTATAAGATTTCTCTTTGAATTCTAAATCTCTAACATCAATATATTTACAAATTTCTTCATTGCAGCTAAGAAATTTTACACTTAAATGATTTAGGATAAATTTGCTTTTGATTCATGTTATATGTTTTTAATGGAAGAGATAACTATAAAAAAGTATTTAAATTCAATAGTATAGTATAAAAGTGTAGTTATATAAATAGATAATCGTTTACATATAGTATTATTCTCACCAGTCTCCCAGCTAGAATGCCGCAAGTTTCTTTGTTAGCGGCTGTATTTTGGGCAGCCAGAGATAAAAATCGTGGCAACAGTGCCGTCGGTATAACAACTGTACGAAGACGCCTCGCATCCAATAGTCCACTTGAATCACTGAAATTGAATTAACTAATCAACTTAATATGTCACAATAGGATTTTGTACTTTAATCCGATGATGAGAGATTCTGTATAAATGTTATCTATTATGTATTGACCAAATTCGGGGTTCACAAAAGGAAGATTTTGAACTATGACCATTTTTTTACTAGCTTTTTAATTCTTAACAATTTAATATTTAATGTATAAATCACAAAAACTGTAAAAACTTTCTTATATAATAAACATAAATATAAACAAACTCAATAGGATCTTGACATCTGAAGAAATTATGGATGTATAAAAATAGCCATACAAAAGGGCAGGGCATTTTCAATACTATTCTAGTATATATTGTATATAATAGTTTTTACTAACACAGCAGGTCTTGAGGGTGGTATGATGACAGGTGGCACAGCTGCTGGAACACCTGGCAATGATCGAGGAGGATCTGCAAAGTCGTCGGGATACAACACATCATCAACCGGAGGAGCCGATGGTGTTACAGCCCATTGATCCTGAAACCATTAAGTTATTGTAAACTATTTGCTTAGAATAACTAGGAAAAAGCACATTAATTAATTTAATATTAAATAGTTATCGTTATTTTTATCTCTTGAGTAAAAAATTCATGAATTAAGTATTTTAATGGTTCTGAGTAATTGCCATACATTGAATAAATATTCCGAAACATATCTAAGATTGGTCATATCATCAAATGCATAAAGAAAATATAAATTACTAATCCTGGTCATACTAACTTCGCGTAGCCACTTCATCAAATTTGTATTCATCTATAGACTAACATTTTTTTGTTTTAAATCAATACACTACTATTTAATAATTTTTTTGGCAAAGATTAATGTGAGCAGAAGAAACCTATAAAACAATTAATTTTTGCTATTCCATGTTGAATGACAAAAATTTTATCACATGAGTTTATTGCACAATACAAAATATTCTTACCGCATGTAATAAATATGGTGTAGTGCTGTGACCATCTTGTCTATTCTCGTCAGCTTGAAGTCTTTGAGCAACTTTTGCATCTTCTTGCTCTTGTTTTCTTCTAGCCTCCTCGGCTATTTTTCTCTTTGCCTAAAATAATATAACATACAATAATTTTTATGCCATAATTGACTATAGATATTTAAATTAACTTTAAGGAGTTAGTGTATTATTGTGTACCTCATTTTCAATATACAGTGCATGTTCTTTAGCATAAACATCTAACAACTTTTGTTTTAACTTTTCTGCCTTTGGCATAACTTCCTTAAGTTTACTCTGATTGACTGCTTTAACTTCTGATGGCACAGTGTTGTACTCTGGGTGTTTCCGAATCTTCTCTACAAATAGGGTCATAAACTTCATGTACAATATATAAGCGTTTTCTAAACTGCCCTCAGCAAGATACACATTTGCCATCCTCACCATTTCTAATCCAGATCGATAATACCTACAATTTAATTATTAAAGCAAAAAATATGAATCAATCTCGGAACACTAGGAAATTTTTGCTATATTTATTAGAATGTAAAAAACTTATTGGCAATGTTTCTGCAATTGTAATAAATGTGAGTCATCTCGAAAATCCCATAAAAATATCTACATAATTTATACCTGCTTACCTTCGAGGAGGAACATTGGGATCAACGTCTACCATTGCCCCATAGTTGGCCAATTGCTTAACCCTAGCTGCCGGTTCTAAGGACGCTAGATCCACTGTTTTACCCTTCTTTTCAATTGACTGCATCTTTATAATTAAGTCTTTCTTCGTGTAAATATTTGATAACTTAATTCAAATAATATATGCTTCGTGGCGGCACATTGAATATTTGTATGTAATTATTGCTCATCGCAATATTTTAATTAGTAATCATTTACTACTACCATACAAATGAAATTGTTTTTCTGTTTGATTATCTGATATTTTTGTCAACTTGACATTTAGCGACAAATTACATTTGACATATTTAAAAGTGATGCCAGTGTATTTACTAGATATTGTATAGTGTATTTACTAGGCTAGATTGTCAAATTTCAATGAGATGTAAATCTCTCAGTAATACTCAGCAACGTGCACTTAACAGCTTATTATCGTCATGCTTTTAGAATGCATGTTTTAATGCATTCTAATTTTATCGACATCTAATGTATTCATGCTTTTAATGTAATCATATAAAGGGGCAAGTTTGGACATGTTAAGCTTTTAAAAAGATTCCAGCATTTGAATTAGTTCTACATCTATTGCTATTTTTAGTTTTTTTAGTCTGTTCAAAGTCCATAAGATAAGCACAAAAATTTATAATATGTCTCTAGAACCACCAGTATTCGAACACAACTTTTATGTCTTTTACTGTAATATTCATAAGGACAAAAAGTTAAATAATTTTATTATTCAGTTAGTTAATTTACTGCGACATTACTGAATTGCAAATAACAATTATAAAATAAACATTATTAAAAGAATGTTAACAAATATGTATTTTAATTACATACTTTAAATTCAATAAATATTTCTAATGGTTTTAAAAACACATGAAAAACAGAAATAGCAACAGTAAAGAGTCGGAAGCCAAATACAAGTGTTGATCATAACCATGAAGCTTATCACAATGCTTCCATAAAATTTGCAAAAGGTCTTGAAATTTATTGGAAATGAGGGGAAGCGTTTGTTAACACTAGAACAAGATTCTGTTCTTGATATGCCATGTCTTGGCGTGGGTTTGCATACATCATCTTTCCATACATCTCTATCAGCATTGTCAACAAAGTTTCCAATACCCTTAAAGGTCCTTTTAAACCAGTTGTCTTTCTTTGTTACATGTATCCATCTACATTGTTGGTGCAAAATGTTTCTTTCACTATTACAAGGAGGATAAATCAAAACATTTTTCTTTCTTCCGTGTCTTGGGCATACGGGTCTATGATGTAATTTTTTATATTGCCTTGGTCGTTTGTGTCTTTTATAAACTGGAGGTTTACTATGTAACAAATCTCGTGGGATATTATTTAAAGACTTTTTGGAAACAGATCTTTTTTGGAGAGGCGGGTGAAAGTGACTTTTCTCATCAGGTAGATGATTAAAATCGACACGTTCTCGTTTTTTATGTTCAAGGGCAATATCATTACGATATTTCATATCAAGGTTTTTGTCTGATATTTCTTGTTTTTGTAATAGAGGACGATCTTGTAAAGTTAGAGGACGATCTTCATAATTATTATAATCTTTGTTTGTGAAAACCTCCGGTGGCGATGTAATGACAAAGTATGATGAATTGGGCGTGTTTGTTAATTTCGTGTGAGTATATCTTTTACGTGTCTTATAAGGTTTCATCACCCACCCTCTATTTCGATTATAATAAACACTGTACTTCATTCTTGGATCAGCACATAAATTGTGACGACTTTTAAATCTGTATTTTTTATCATAAGCAGTCTCGACGACAGGCGGTTTTAATGAATCTGATTTTTTAGATTCTTTTTTTTTAAGCATAGAATATAAAGTGTTGACAGTAAATTGAACTCTCCTAGATATATTATTAAATAAACGACCAAGTTCATTACGATAACTAGTTTTCTTAGTGAAACCATCTTTTTCAAATAAATTGAAAGGTCGCACTGGATATGTCAGCAACCAACAAAAACAGACAATTATTATACAAGGAGACCATAATATTACTATTACTATAAACATAACGCTCTTGAAAATTGACCTTGGCAACGATTTCCGATCATCAACATGATCTGAAGAATACGTGGGTGACTTTGTCCGAAATATTAATGGACCCTCCTGGAACCTTCCCGTTGCTTGGATTGGAGTTAGTTTACTTTCACATTTAGGGTTTGTGCAAATGTGATTGTTGCAATTGTTAGTGTCCCCAGATCCATTCCTGGGAATATTAAAGCAAGATGGAGTAACCCCTATGCATCTGCTGCAAAAATGGCATCTTTCATTCCTTGATAATCTAGGAATACCTTCAACACGAGTTTGTTCACGATCTGAGCATGTAACATCGGCCTGAATATAACGATCGAGTGTTGGGCAATTGTGATAGCTTGGTTTGCCAAATTCATATATACTGTTCTTTACTGTTTGTGAATCTTTGTTACATTCCGTTTGTCCATTGAAATTTCTGCAACATTTATCGTTGAAGTCAGTTCTGGGTGTGGGACAACAACAACTGTATAAATGCTGGTCAGATTTGAAATTGCATAGTTTTAACGATTTCGTATTATGACTCCGATCCAATTTTCTGACGTCATTTCTATGTTTTTGTTTTTTACCAGTTTCCATTGTGTAGAGAACATGTACATCTTTATTATTGCACTGCTGCTTACCTTTTTTCGATCTTAAAGTTTTTGAAGTGATATACCGTAACGCTTCTTTAGTTTTATTGGCGACTTGACAGTTAGCATTTGAAAACTTTTGTTTTAATTCGTATAAACTTGCCGACCTTTTGATTACAGGCCTCTTAAATTTAACTAAAAATGTATATGTGTTGTATTTCGATTCTGACTCTAACATTGAAAATAATATTAATATTATAATCATACTCACTAGATGGTCTTTTAAAAAGAGTTTTTTTACATTTTCTTTTTGTCGTTGCTTGTAAAAATGTCTCTGAACTGAATGAACTTTTAGTTGGAATCAATGTTTCACAGTTTGCAAGGAAGTAATCAGTTGCTAAATTCAGTTTTTTTTTCACACGTGGAGTTGATTTTCTTGTTTGTCTTTTGATTGCTTTGCTGCTATTTGTTTCATGAGAATCGAAGCGCATAAGACGCAAATTGTGCATTTGTCCGAGTCCTTTACCCATTTCTAGTTACATATTTATTATTACATGCGTAACTTTTCTCAGAACTAATGTAAATAATAAAATATAATTTCTCTTATAGAGTGAATAATGTAAATGACATATAAATCGTATACAATGTAGAACAATAATAATATGTCACCTGAAAATAAAACGTGCAGATTATAAACGTAATTTATAAGTATATACCTACATTTAAATAACTTTTTTCACTTAAAAGTTAATCCCGGATCGTGTTTCTTCCATTCTACTCGACACTGGCAAAATATACTGTGCACTTCTTTGTACGGATGAAGGCCATATTTTAAATAAATAACAACTAAATAACTTTTCATATAATGGTCACCACAAAGATCCTTCTTATTGGATAATCTGTACCTAGGTGAATGGGCTTAATTTTATTTGAATCGTTTTGTTGCATGATTCTTGAGAATATACAAGCATTTACAGTTAAACTGATTAGATGAAATGTATATTTACATGAATTATTTTGGAACTCAAAAATTTACTGACATTATTTGAAAAATATGTGTACATTAGCCCAAGTATCGTTATGTGTTAGATAAAATTAAATTACGACGGCTTATTTTATGTTTCTTTAATGAACCGTTATATCGTTAACTTTTGCCCATAGACACTGATTATAGGTTTTGGAAGACCTATCAAACCTACAAAGCAATATATATTTGTCGTATTATACCTAAAACAAAAACCAGTGAACATTATATTCATCCGATATCTACGGATCATATTTGCGACTACCATTACACGTTTGAGTCGACAAAACAAATCCTTCACAAGCTTATCAACTACGATAATAAGTATTTAATTAGTTATAAAGGGAGGATTCTACATACCGAAGACTTTTAATTTTACAAGCTTGTCACATAGGTGTACGATACGAAAATGGATAAACAGGAATTTATTTCATACTCAGTGCCGTCGTTAGGGGAGGGGGGGGGCGCGATGGGACGACGGCCCAGGCCGCCAAATTTGGGGGGGCCGATTAGTGGAGGTAGGATACTTATAAATGAAAAAAATAATAAAAAAAATAGGAGCTACATAACTTTCTACGTCCACGTCGTTAGCTCTGGGTCACGCTAAAGGAAAAATGGAAGATGGTAGATGGAATATAGAATTCTTAATACACGTTCAGTATTCACATTGGTTCAGAAAAAAATTAATACTCGATTTTGATTTCTTCAAGTGGGCGCCAAAATATTGTTGCCCAGGGTGTCAGTCCCTATAACGCCGGCACTGCAAATACTAATATCAAAATCCTGTTAAAACAGACATATTTATATTCTACCTGTCTATGTAGTGAAAAAGACTTTCACGATCTCAAACTTACACTATCATTACTTGTTAGAAACGAGTTATAAATTACATTTTATTGCTAATGAGAGAACTTTATATGGAGCTGATTAGGAGCGACCCATTTATATAAGACGTATTTATATACAGTCGTTGTATAAATACATATTTCAATTAACAATCGTGGCAGCAACAGCACATAAAACATTTGCAGACTTCGATTAATATAAAACAGGGTATCCAAAATAAAAATCCAAGAAGGAACATGCACATGAAATGACAATTTTTACATTGATTTCTTAGATCGTAGTATGGGGGATACATTTTAGGCCAACGGTGGTAAATCCAGACTTGTGGAGTTTTTCTTAAAGACATCAAATAACAGTCACCCATATTTTCCGGTTGTCTTCTTAAATAATTTGGTCTCCTCGTTAGCTGTGGTGAGATGGGATTCAATATTGTTCTCGTAATAGATGTTAGAAAATCTTTGCTTTTGATAGATCTAATCCTTTTTATTTTATCGTCCATTTTAAAATAATTATCAAAAAATTTATGTAAGAAGTTCAATGGCATGGTATTAGTTCTCTTTTTGTTCGACTTGGCACGTCTCTTCTTGGGCTTTTTAGCGTTTTTTTACGTTTATTTTCAAGTTTTTCTAATTTTTCTTTCATTTTTATTGCTTGATGCATCTCCTTTGGCGCTTTCTTTAATTTTCCTGCTGTTTCTGAGTCCTTTGTCAGATGACTTTTATTTAGTTTTGCTGCCTCGATTATTAATTTGCTTAATTTTTGTTGCTTATTCACAAGTTCTTTTTCTTTTAACATAATTTCGCATTGCTTTTGTAAAGTTTTTTTAACTGCGCAGTACTTATTGTTACATTGTTTTCAGTGCTATCTTTTAAATAGTACCTTTGCATTTTGTAAAGCAGTGTTCTAATATAAATATACTATTAATTATATAACCTATCGCACATTATTTGAAATTTTAGTAGTTTTAATATATATTTTTTATGTTTTCTTATCATGTTTTACAATTTTTTTTTGTTTTTTCTATAGTTTATAAATTTCTTAACAGATATTGTGAAATAGTAAACATTGCTAAGGAAATTGACACGTATTGTCATTTGTAAAAGTTTGGAAATTTATTATATAATAAAAAATGATAATAAATTTAAAAAGTTTGTATAATAGACAAACTCATAATTTTTTTTAAATAACACGTATATCGTATTAGCTTAAATTCTACGATTAAAGATAGTATTAGTACCTACTATAAAAAAGAGGGGCTGTCTTAGGCATGTAGTTAACTATTCATTTACTCTCTTATATTGTTTAAGAAATATTGAAATCTGATAGTGACTTTATTTTATATTAGCTATTATGTTTGAACTTAATTAATAACAAAAGTTAAAGCTATGGGAATCTTTTGTACGGTACAAACTTTTGGGGTAAAGTTCTAGATACTATAGCCTCATTCGCAAAACTACCTACCTAGTCATGGTATTTTCCCTTAACCAACTGCCTGGAATTGCGAATTTTATAGGTTCTATGTCCTACAAGCTACTCGGCTGCCGCTGGTGGAAACGCAAAGCGGTCATCCGTAAGCCTAAGACAAAATAACCAAAAGGACCTATTTGACAAACTGTTTAATTCTACCATCTGCATTTTATGACGAAAAAAACACACCTTTCTAACAGTATACCAGAATGCTCGGGTCATAAATCAAAATATAACGCAAAAACAATTTCACAAAAAATATACATACCTTATAAATTGAATGACTAAGACATCAGAACTTATATACAAGTGTGGGTGCAGAAAATGTAACAAGCGTCGGTTACAGGTCACAGTTCAAGACACCCGAGGTCAAACATAATCCCAGGAACAAGTATAATGAATTATTTATATAATTTCATCTCCCGACATTTTCTGGTTTCCTAGTAACATCTTTAAATTTAAAGACCTTTAAACTTTAAATCAAAACTTGTTTTTATTAATAACTTTATTATTATGGTCTTGGCGAAAGAATCAGAGGATATGTTGCGAAGGTGATGATAACTTTATCAATATTTATTATAAATTAAAACCCCAAAAAAGTAAATAAATGTGATTTTAATATAAGCATTTTATTTTAATGTATTACGTAAGTAATATGTTTAAATCAATATTCAAATATAATCATTATTGTAAAGAAATTTACATTGTCTACAGCCATATAAAATGTTAAATGGAAATGCCCTTATATAACCAGGATAAATGAGGCACACGTTATCCTCGAGCCAGATTATTTATAATACATTGACGAGGACGCAGATGGAAACGTTGTGGAATCGACACGTTCAACCCGACATGTGTTGACGATAATGTTTGCACTTGGCACTATTTATAAAACATCATCCAATGTTTCGGTCTATTAAAAAAAACAACAAAATAAAACAATATTATGAAACAAAGATATTTTTACAAAGGAATTTAACCCCTTTATTAATTAAATCTTATCTATTTATACTCCTTACGTTATATTTTATAGCCTATCTATTATTAATCTATTATGATTGTTAATTAATACGGAACGGACTTTACGGAACTGCGATACACTGAAGTAATTCCATTTTATTTCATATAAGAGAATGCCTTATCCAACAAGATTTCGTGGACTTCCTGCATCTGGGGGTCGCCGCCATTGGTCAGACGCTGTGGTTCGCATTTTGAAGTTCGAACGCTGTCTTACTTCTTAGATCGCCGCAAGATCGCGACGCGAGCGCATGCGTCGTACGTGCGTGTAACAGTGACAAAGCGTGTGTAAATTAATTTACAAAGTTAATTGGATATCGGATTCCGAATCGTCGAGATATTTTTAGACGTGAGTATTTTTTAAACTGGTTTCAGTGCATCGTATTATAAAGTCAATTAACCGCGTTTGATAATATCTTACAAAATTTATTCCGTCCGCAGAAAATCTGAAAGAGTTTTATTTTGTATTACCGAAAAGTGTATTTAAAATATATTTGTTATCAACTTTTTAATATTGCTATGCTTAGGGCTATTGTGCATTTTTAAAATATTTTCATAAATATTTTTTCTTCTTAAAACAACCACTGTCATTAAAAACCTATTAAGAACTAATTTAAAATATTTAATTTTATCGATGTCTGTTTCTAGGTAAATATCTATGTTGAAGATACATATTTAATAATACATCTACAGCTAAAAAATGCATTGTTTATTTGTTTACTTTTGAAGTACTTGATCATGACATTTAAAGTTGCAACATCTAAACATTCCACGGTGCTTAAATGTAAATAATTTAAAAACTTGTTTTAAATTACTATAACTTTCTACTAGTACTTATATTTTAAATATAATAAAAAATAATTATAAATATATAGGTATAATTTTGTTAATAACGAATTATGTTACAAAACCTTATTACTCTTAATTAACATTGACGCCACTTATTAGAATAAAATCTTCATTTTTAGGGTTAATAAATTATTTTCGAAAAATTGCTACTTTTCTATAAAATTAATCAGTGTATTACTTAAGTGGTTCTAAAAATAATAATTTGTAAAATTCCAACAGTAAGAAGATCTATACAAAGAAAAACAAAACTGTTCTTTAATAACTATATTTAATAGAAATATAGTTAAAATTTACACGTTTTTCTATTAGAAAATGATAACGGATATGTGTCATAATTGTTATTTAATTTACGAGTAACCATATTATGACATTAACAAGTCAATATGTATGTAAGTGTTTATTGCCTTCCATTCTTATCTGATACGTCGACCGCTGACCGCGGTACTGATAGCATATACAAATATATCCATTAAAACTGATATATCAATTTAAATACGTGATAAATAATGAAATTTTTATATGTCTAAAATATTATTTATTTAAATTATATCAATAAAATATTATTTATTTAAAAAAAAACCACAACAACAAAACGTCATTTGAAAACGTCACAATTGCAACGAACTGATGCGTTATAAGAAATGTCTTAACATATCCTTCAGTGATTCTTTGAAATAATTATTATTGAGACAATCGTGATGTTGAAGGAACTACAAGATAATTAATGATTTTTCCAAGTTCCAACTAGAATATTTTCGAATTAATCTTTACTTCTATATGTGATTTACTTAGGATATGTTGGCGAAAATGTTTATTCCTTTGTGGTATTAATAATTATGTAAATATCTTTGTAATCTGTGTCAGTTATATGTTTTTAAACTATGTTGTTATTGACATATAAACATATTCATCCTTTTTAGCGATACGCGAAGCGACTTTTTGATTTAATTGGAATGTGTAAGAAAAGGTATTGATAGTTTTTATTTCATGAATAATTGTAGAACTACTGTGTACTATTGTATTATTTTACATTAAAATTACTATATATGACAATGAATACGGAATATTTGATTTTTCAATTATCTCACAATAGATACATACAAATATCTCACGTAAAAATCATTGCGACTTTTCACACGAGAACAAACAATAGATTACTTAACACAGCCATATTGTTTTAAATTTTTACTCCATTATGTACGCTAAAAACAATGTTTATTCATATCTCTATCTTATTTATACGGTATTTTAATTAAGGTTTTAATAAATACATATATTATTTCAGGGATCCTGTGAACCGATGGCGCAATACCAGTTTCTGTTTCTGATCGCTGTGGTCGCATCAGGTAAATTTTATCTACGATAAATCGGCCGAAGGGTTTCGATCCCAGACGCTATGCCTATAAAAAAACTAGCCACAGATAATAAAAAGAAATAGTAATGAAATACTGAGACCGAACAGATAACAATATGTATCGGTTATAAAAAATATATACATTTTAAACTGAAAGTATGTTTTATCTTAATCTTAGTTACATTGAAGATAGCTACCCAATTTAGTCAAAATTTTCTAATCCTGTTTTTTAAGGATCATCTTGTTTTTTAAATAAAAAAAAAAAATTGATTTAGTGTGTATCTTATATTTGGTTATGCGTGATTTTTAATATAAAAAAAAACACAAGCAGACGTAAACTTGTACGCAGCAAACAATAGGGATCACATGTGCTGAGCCATTTAAGTACATATTGCTATACATATATTTAGTTTACGAGAAACGGTCAATGCCTTGGACTGTGATAGAAAAATACACAAAGACGTTAAAGAACGTTTCTACTTGGCTAGTTTAAAACAATGTAAGAAAAAATTAAGATTTTAATCACGCGTTTGTTAATAAAGTAATAAAATTTTTTTCTTTTTCCATTTCTATAAAAAAATTACGTCAAAACTTTACAAGACGTAAAAAAACTGAAATCTGAAATAGATTTTAATGATAAACAAGGAAAAAACAAGTGATGGGTTTTAATAATCATACTTATATGTACCTATACCTTTTAACATGTACATATTTATTTCATTATGTACTTACACATCCATTCATGTACATAGTGTGTAAAAAAAATTATCATGTATACAATGACTAATTCAAAATCTAATACAATACTTGTTACTTATATTTTATTTACATTATTATACTATAAAACTAAAATATATTTTTTTAATGTATATTGTATATATTTTTTTTTAAATATTGTATATATTTTTTTAATGTATATTGTATATCATTAAGAGAAAACGATATCTTATAACGAAAGTAAGTTTTTTCTACGCAATTTTTTTTTATTATTTTATATCTACATGTTCTCGACGTTTCGATTAATTTTCAGCAACTGTGATCACGGGCAGTTGACACGCAATTGAAATGCCAAAAAACTTATTTAAACGAAAATCCAAATATATGTATATATATTGGATAATAATAATTGAAATCTTTTACTTAGCAGTCCTATTAATACCTACTAATACTATAAATGCGAAAGTAACTCTGTTTATCTGTCTGACGCTGTCACGCCTAAAGAATGAACTTTTTATAATGAAACTTGGTACAGAGATAGAGTTGACCTTGAGAAAGAACGCAGTTTTTATCCCAGACTTTTGAAAGGTTCTCTTGGAAACGCGGGCGAAGCTGCGGGCGGAAAGCTAGTATAGCACTAAATCTTTGTAGATATTCACAGTAATGGAGGTTTTAGTTATAAATACTACCGGACTCATGTTATTCTATCCACACGAGTTATTTATATAACTCCACGTATAAATTATATTCAGCGTATAAACAACGTCAATGTTTTCATATATATTCCGCGCGCTCGTAGTTTTTCCTTATAAATATTAATTAGTTAACACATCACAGTACGCCGCGATATAATAAATGTATCATGACGATATCATTAATCATTAATGATTGTGGGTCACCGCAATCATTAAATTGCACTCTAATGATGATCATTCGAAGAAACCAGGTGATTTTGTTTCGTGAGTCACAGTTTGGGGAGCCCGTGTTAAAACGTTCTTGTTATTCAAATAAGTATTCTTCCGCGTAAATAATTAGCTGGTGATTCATAGCTGTAGATGGATGTGGTCATAATTATTTACCTTAGCGTGACCTTTCATTAGATCGGAGTTTACCTGGAAATGTGACTCTGAATAATGATTTATACGCTTATGACTTACGTTTCCCATGTTAACAAACCTTAGTATAAACATATTGCCAATATATTGTAGCAAATACGTACAGTAAAAATGAATTTAGTATTGTTGTAAATAAGATGGTCTAGCATTTTGTTTTTTGGTATAACAAACAAAATTGTATTAACACTTCTATTTTTGTCAAAAATATCAAACCTTGGAAATATTTTTAATATAGATTTACCTTATTAAAAATGTGAGATAGAACTATTGCATGAAATTATCTCAAATTATGTATATAGTAAACTTAGTAAAAACCAAACTTACAAATCACATAACATTTAAAATAAAATTGTTGAATAATTTAAGAGTTTTTACCCGTATATGTAATCTGATGGTATGCCAACGCCGCCAAGGCTCTGCTGTGCTAAATAAGTGCTTACTCGTGACCGAGAGTACTCGAACCGACTTTCAATATAACTAACAGAACTGGCTCCTGCAAATAACATTACTTTCTATTTATTTTAATAAACTTTGATTCAGTACTGCAAAGATATCAAACCAGTTGTAGGTAGCATATAACAAAAAAAAAAATCATTGTCTCAACGGACATGTATCAAATTTTATTTCTTTTATTCCGATCTCACCGGACAACTTTTTCTATTAAAAATCAAATCATTGATTGTGTGCTAAACGCCTTTCTCCGTTTAAAGTCATACATATAACATTAAAGTTTGAGCCTGCAATACTGAGTGGAAAAAAATGCCGACTGGAAATATTAGTCACTTTCGATGCATGTACTGTATATGTAGACATAGAGTGTATAGCAATCTGACTGGTTTTAGCTTTTAATACAGCCAGCAATCAATAACACTTGCACCTTTAACCAATACTAAACCATGAAACTATATATGTAAATGACCGTTATAAAATTAAATCAAATGATCACAGTTTTATGTAGGTAAATTGAAATCTATGTATGCTTTAAACTTTAAAGCTATTAGGAAGCAATAGATTATTGACTGTTGACCCATTTGAGATAAGTGGATACTTAAGCAATTCACGAACGGTTGGAATAGATTTAAACAAGACGGCTTACTCGTAAATGATGAAGGTAGAATGTTTGTTTTTACAATTTAACCAATAAAATTTCATATACGATCTTTTACATTTATAAAACGTGATTATTATTTTGTATTTTGTCTCGAGGCCATACCAAATTTTGGGGTTTTAATAAATATTGTATGAAATACGAATACATAACTTACCCTTAACTCTTATAAGGTACAATGGTTTTAATTAATTTAGTTAACTTAGAACTGCTTCTACGTATATCATTCTTGGGGACTTATAAATATACGCAAAAGCGTTTAGATTAGATGTAGTGATTTTAATCTTGAATATGAGATCGTAAGGAAACTGCAATGGACTCTTCCGGCAGCTGTGTCTTGAAAACAAACGGGCCAGACAACATAAGTGCATAATGCATTCCGACCATTTACACTCGCAAGAAACAAAGACAATAAATAGTCAACATGCGTTCACTTTAAACCGAGTATTGCGATTTTTTATTTTTTATTTAGATTATTTAACGTGCACAGTATATTACTAAAATGTCCATAAGAACGGAGATAATATTATATTTTCATATAAAAATTTTAATTATTTTAAGTTGTGTCTAGATGGCGCTAGTCCTAATTATAACAGTACTTACCAACCCGCAAATTGTTTATTTTCTCGGGAACATAAAATTATGTCAAGGAATGCTTGAGAAAAATCTAAATACTTACAGTATATATATCTATATATATAATGAAATTAAATGTCTAATATCCAGACTGTTATCAGGTAGTTTGCTATCAAATAATGTCACTGCACTTTTTGTTTGTTTAGTTAAAAAACTTTTTGAAATATTTTTTCTGGTATACAGTACTCTAGAAATAGTATGGGAATAAAAAGGTGTCTTACAGTAATTGAACAAGTTCTATAATGAGGCACGGAAATACTTTCTGACAGAGTAATGACTTAAAATTACAGATAAGATACGGGCTTGAGGTTGCGTGACCAATTAATGCGTATCTCATTCAAGTTGAGAGTGACGAGGTAGATTTTAGTTCACATATGTATCAATCTTCAATCTCTATATATATAAAAATGGATTGCTGTTCCTTAGTCTCGCTAAAACTCGAGAACAGCTGAACGAATTTATCTTATCTTAGTCTTGAAATGTTCGTGGAGGTTCAGGGAAGGTATAAAAGCTGAAAAAAATTTATTCATTACTGGTAAAACCATAAAAACAGCCCTTTTCTATTTCCCATACAAACGTTTTTTTTTGACATTAGATTTGACAACTAACTAATATGTCAATCATTCTGTTGCACTTCAAAACACGGAGATTTAATGCTTACAGGTAAACTCCAAAATATAAATAAAAAAACGTAATAGATATTTCTTGATTGTAGGGCGATACGAAGTTCGCCAGGTCTTCTAGTATGTATATATTTATCAGTAACAAATATATACGACGATTACAAATAAACCAATCAGTCGTACCGTCTAGCTTAGTGACTTTCACTGAGATTTATGAGGTTATGTCTTCAAAAGCTCCAATGATCTTACTAACCAATGAGTCACACGAATATCTCGTATTAAAATATGCTAAGGTTTTCATAAGGCTTACAAGAACCGGGTTTTGGGCACCGTTAAGCAAGCAAAGGAGTTACGTTTGACCCACTAATTGAAATATTCGGTCGGCTTCAACCATATTTATTTACGGATTTTAAGTAGTTCCCACCGTCTCAACCACTTAGATGACTACAATTGTTATCTGACTACGAAATTTATGAGAATTTTTAAAAGGAATCAATTTCTTTGTGATATATGTGTAATTTATTTATTTTTTTTTCATAATTTCTAGGTATAGGACCATGTCTCAGTCAGAGCTCTTTGAAAGTTGGTACATCCGAAACAACGCCAGCCAGTTTGTTGAAGGAACTTGAGGATAACAGCCGTTACAAGACCTTAGAAGCAAACGCTACACTACTGAAACTTCTCGTTGACGACAAAGGAGGAGTTAGCAAGTAAATTTATGCTCAAAATTATTAATAAAACATTTCTAGAACTTTCAAGCTCAGTAAATGTGTAAATTAAATTATATATATTCGCATTTAAGACGATATGAAAGTGTCTATTTAAAAGGAAATTGTGAATATAAATAGTCAAATTTCTCTTCTTAGAAGTCTCTGCGATTTAATGTCTAATTTATTTACAAATTGTTTTAAATATGCGCAAAACATTAGGTAAATGTTTTATTAATTCTACTTATATACATGTGAAATTTTGTTAGATAAATGTGTGTAGCCCTTCTAATAAATACTGAATCGATTTTGATTAAATTTCACAACAATATAGTTTGGATATCAGAGTACGGCATAAGCTATAATATATAAAAAATTGCCCTATAGTTACTGCAAGGTTTAAGCATAATGTTGATATCGCTGTCGTTTATTTACCATGCCAATTGTTACCACTATACACTGCTTTCTTAGCCTAATTCCGATGTTTCCAGCAAAAATAACTTCTTATATAAAATTTATTACACCACCAATTTCACGACTGAACAATAATTCTTTCTTACAGTATATAAAACACTTTTTATTAATTAAAATTAATATATAGGTCGGAGGTGTTTGACATGTTGCATTCTAAAGATGATAATCATGATCACGTGGACTTGCCAACGTTCCCTGAAGATGCGGAGGAAGGTCGAGTGGACGTGATGGTGGTACCTGACTCACAGGCTGAGTACCTTCAAGGTATAACTTATGAGTCTTATTATAATAGATTTGATAAACGCTGTATATATAATAGAATGAAATATATTGTGAATTCTCGCTTAACTTGTTACACGAACTTACTTTCTTACTTGTACTAATATTAAGACATGTCTTTATGATACATAAACTCTATAACTAACATACATAATACTATCGATATTTTTCTTTACAAATATATATAAATGTATCGCTAACTATCCCAATGTAATAATTATAATATACTTTATTCTTAACACCTCCAAATTATACTTTTTTGAGATTTCTATACATTTTTTGTCATCATAATGATTATAAAAATAGGTACATAAGACAGTATAAAAATACATGTACTATAATGTTTGTAATTCTTCTGGCACGCTGCAGTAGTCGATCTTTCGCTGCACTTTGGTTATACAGGGTGACTGGTGAATTACTATCGATATTTGAGGGCGTGATATTTGACGATCATATATGACAAAATAAAAATTAATATAACATAAATATTAATAAACTTCTAAGTAAAGTTAACCAAAAGTTGTGTAATTAATTACGCATCGTATGAACACCCTACAGATTAGGTATACACACACACTCACACATACGCGTGTCGTGACGTGGTGTTGTATCAGCACGACGCCGCACGCGTCCACACTTGGAACACTTGGAACTTGTCCACACTTTATTTATTTATACGGAAATTTTGTCAAAAATTAAGTGCCTATTTTTTTTTCATAATTCGAATGAGAATCATGTACCGAGTATGCTCCTTAAATATTGATAGTAATTCACCAGTCACCCTGTATAGTAACGCAAGCTGACTTTGTTTAGCATACTAAATATGTAACGACGAAGATAACACTACTTGAAATTTGAAAGATACTTACTTACTTAAAAACTTCTCATCTCGAAATCAAAAGATCAATAAATACCTACACATTTCAAAGCTTTTGTAAATATTTAGCATTACACAATATATAGATGATAATAAACCAAACATACTGGCAAGTCGCCATTAACGACGGGTAAAATACAACATCAATTTCTAGCGATGTATTAAGAGAGTAGAGATCTATATAATGGTCAGTTGAAATTTATATTAAAAGCTACATATATAACAGCGTCAGAATCAGTACGTAAGGACTCACGAAGACTCCGTTCAGCAGGCGGGCAAGCTGGGGCCGCTGCTGGGGTCATGGTGCTAGTGACGTGCGCCATAGTGGTCATAGCTTACACCGCGCTCGTCGTGTGGAGGCGAATATATTTGTAAGTATGAATATATGAAGTATACTTAGTAGGATATTTCATCGTAAAAATACATAGGAAGATTGTCAGTTTCTTTTTTATGAATCTTGGCATGATAATATGATAAGATGTAGGTACATACCTATTGATGGTATAATGGAAAATTTCTATATGTATTTTGACGGTATTAAGTTATAATAAAGGCAGCATCCTAGTACTTTGTTATTGATACTCTGGTTACTACTTAGTTATAAGATGTTATTTGATTGTATTTAATTTTAATAAATTAGAATACATAATAGGTAGTAAGTAGCCTTAAGATTTTATGTTTAGTAGTTTAGGACAAAGGAATTTTTAACTAGATTTTTCTGTTATTAACATAGATAGATACAAAATAATTTATTTGTATTTTGACTGAAAACGAGGATGAATTATGTACGTAGCTGCTCAAAAGACGAAAATAGTTTCTTTTATTACATCTTTACTGTAAATTTATTGGTCATTAAATAAAATATTTCACTACCCTAAAGTTTTCAACAGACAAACATAGTAAATTCACTTTGTATACTATAAATTTTTATAAAAATAAAACTGTCTGACGCATTATGTTTAAGATATAACATATTTTGTTACGAGAACATAAAATTGGGAGGTACACGCTTATAAATCGCCACGGGGTTCCTATAGAGTAACGGCCCATATTCACAAGACTCATTGATCGGGTCTTTGACTTACGATTTATTTGGTGGCTTCATATTGCTATACGCCGTGTGGGATGATATCAAATCAGATGGAAAAACGTTCCACTGAATTAAGTATTAACATCCTGTAATACGAGATTGTACTTTCACTCGATTATACGCTTTTATAGGGCTACTTTCGTTAGATGAAAATCAGCAATAATTATAACAGTTAATTATCAGAGAGAATACAAGAATGCTTAGCAAAAATTTGGATCGTCAAACAAACGAAGAGTTCACGTTACTTTTTGATGATTTATGAATAAAAAACGTTAAAAGCTTCGTGTTACTATACTTATGGCAAGCATACGGTTCAACTTGTCTACTTTAACAATATAAGTACCTTTTATTTTTTCACACCATTTTTGGAATACTTCCGTTGAAAACACAGTATATTATATTATTCAGACTAATTTTCAAGGCACTTGTATAAGTTATCATGATTCCTTTAATAATTTATAAAGAAATCAGCATGCTTACATAATTAATTGCGATAAAGTATAAATACTCCAACACTGTATTTATTTGAAATAATTTGCTTAACTAACATATGATTAAAACATTAGCAGATCTAATAATACTAAAGATAATAATTAACTTCTTGTACTCAGTTTTCATATTCATTGTAAACAATTTTATCAAATATCAAACAAATCTAGGTAAATCTTTAATAATTTCAAGGTTCAATTGGTAGATCTTAGATGTAGTTTAATATGACTACTAAATCAAAATTATTAATAAAAACGTATTTATTAAGTAATAATACTCTTCAATAGAACACATCGGTATGGTTACTCCATATTTGCATCGCGACCTAGGAAATGCATAGGAAACATTATCAGATTTACATTAATAAATCTTCGAACATAATTCTTAATTAACATAGGTAATTACATTACATAAAACACTATGTAGTGTGACGAGGCGATCTTGTAGAGTTGTAGTAAAAATTCTGGTCGTAAAAATAATTGTTATAAATTTCTGTTGTCGGTCAGAAACTCCGTCTTTTTTGTGAGTTTTATTATATTATGAATTAATGTTCTAAAATAATAAGTTTATTATAACTATACGGCTGTTTACGCCAATGCCTAAATCAATCTGTTTGCATATTTTTTACGTTTAAATTAAATAATATATTAAAAACATTAAATATACAATAGAACTGTGAAAACTAATGAATATATTCTGTATATAACAATAATATGTAATTTAATTTTAACAATTGAACAACGCTTGTTTAAATGGATGGACACTGACCACTGGTGTTTTGTTATAATTAGTAATTGGTATTATGAAAACAAAACGCAAATGACGCACTCAGTATCATTCATTTAATTTATGCACAAAGACAATATTAATAATGTAATATACCTATTAAGAGGATAGTAAAGATATTTGTAGTTGTTGATAATGTAAAAATAAGATTAAATAAAATCTAGGTACTATCAACTACATATGTAGAGCTATCGCGAAGCAGACAATGTCTTGTAAACAATTCCTATTATATTTTAGCCCACTTTATTAAAACAATAACGTTTATTTCTGGAAGATCCAATTAAAATCTTATATATCTTCTTCTACCTGGCAATTTCCCAGCTTTAGCCAGGGTCTGCCTTACATGTTGTGTATAGTTTTTGCTATTTGTTTTTACGAGCGGCCGCCTGCCTGACATCAACCCTTATTGGGAATCGGCTTTAATCAGTAATGTCTAAATACTCTTAGAAAGTGCATATGGATCGGAAAACTCACATTGGTACTTGCCCGGGCCAGGATCGCACCCGCGCCCTGGTGCACGAAAGGCGGGCCTTTTAACTACTAGGTCACCACCGACTTAAAATCTTATATGTATATCTTGAATAAAAATTTAAGAAGATTTATTTTTCAACTATCGTGAATTCGCCTACGCTTCGTCTAATTCGTATTCCGTCAATAATTAAAGAAACTTTTTAAATTTTCAGAAAGAAGCACGGACTGAAACATGAATTGTTACGAAATGAAGAGATCGCAGAAACAAGAATTGAGGTAATTTAACTAATTTTTCGCTTATTAACATAACCTCAATAATTATAATTAAATTGGCTATAGATATTTCTTACATTTTACCTACAAATAAATTATGCTGAAAAAAATCTTAATTAAATACATCTTTTTTTTCAGTTGTGAACGTCACAGTTTACAAGAATTATTTGAAGACTTCCAAGTTTCGTGATTACTTTGATTAAGATCAACAATTCTATAAAAAGATGAAGACTGAATTATTTATATGATGAGCCACAGATCTTGCTAAGTTGGTGTCACAGATAATAAAAATAGTTTTAGTACCGTACAATGGATAACTAATGCATAATACACTATGTATTATTCCTATGAATATTAAATAGGAACTGAATATTTTATATATAATTATTTTGTACTACATTTACATTGTAGGTACAATTAATTTGTACACTTTACATTGTTTGAATTTTAATATACAAAATTGTTTTTTAAGTAATCTTTTCAAGTTTTTCACATTCATTGTACGCACGTCATTTTACAATTGTAAGCCACAATAGAATAGATTATAATAATAATTTTTTACTTATATTCTATAAACAATTGTATGATGTAAGTCCTTTTTATGATTGTAACTAAGAGGAAAATTGCATTTAAGAATGTTTACTCAAAGGAAAAAATTTACTAACTTGTGCCATACAATAATTGTCTACTATTAGTTATTGAGATTCTAATATTGTAATTTAATGGCAATTTCATATAATATAGAACAAATAGTCTGTGATGTTTTAATAAAATAAGGAATAAAAAAAACAAAGAAAAATGCAAAGTTTATTGTTTGTTCATTTATCACCAAAAAAATGATAATCTTAAAAATAATCCAACAACATTGATCTATCCCTATATTTGTACAAAACGTTAAACAAATCACTATTTCTCTTACATAATTGTAGTCTAATTAAGCAATTACATTTGGAAAGCCAGAAATAAAATCTTTATAAGCATGAATATGTACATATATGCAATGAATAATATTTTCAAATTATTTAAAGCAATATCATGATTTTCGAGACGGAAACCATCTTATTGTTTATTGTCAATTTTGTTCCGATTACTTGTTCTCCTTATGCTTAACAACGACAGGTCCTGTGTTGTCTCCTGTCTCTTTGTTATGAGTTCCATGAGCACCATCGCAGTAGGGCCACTGGAAATACATAAATTTATACTTAAAACTTAAGTCTTAAGTAAATAAAATTGGAACATAAAATGTTGTAAATATCATATTTATATTATAGGCCATATCAATGATAAAACTGATAAAACGCTGATAATATGAGCAAACAAATGCTCAAAAAATATGACACATGCATCATCCTTAGAAAAAATTGCTAAAGAAATTTTAAGTTTAATACTTTCTAAGTTGACCCACTGAACTAATCTACATCCTTGGACAAAAGAGATTGTGATTTAAAACATTTTTTAAAGAACAATTGTAATGTATTTTTTAGTTGAACATAAAATTGTTGTAGTTACATATACATATATGTATGTAAATTTTCTGATATAAAATCTTATTGTATGGATTACAGAATTAAAACTCACATTTTTGCTCCTCCAACATCTACACAGAGACACCTTTTCTGTAATATCTTCGATATCAATGAAATCCACTACTTTATTTATGTCCTTCCGAATGCCAGGATTAACCTGACCACTACCAGCTTCCTTTGCTTTTTTTATGGTCTGGTAGGAATAATATGAAATGCCTCCAATAGCAAGGGTTGGTGGCAGGAGGGCGAGCCAATCACGGACTAAAACAAAATATGAAATCTCTCATTTTATGAACCTTAAAATACTATGTGATAAATTACATTGTCTAAAATATTACATTATAACTGTAAATACCAAGTATAATATAACAATTTAATAGCAATTAAAATTAAAAAGATCTCTGCTCAGTCAATGTTGATAATTGATAATAAATAAGATGAAACAATTGTAAAACTAATAATCACATCATTTAAGATCATTGTTGCTTGAGATTATTATACTATGATTAGCCGAAAGTGTGTCAGTGGCCTTGAAGACTTAAGTTTTTTTAATTTGAATTAAATACAAAGTAAAACCGATTCAAAAGTTATAGTTAATCAGTTTAAAATTATTAAATAAAAAGTAATAATACAATTACTTCCATAAATGGGCATTAAAGAAATAATAAAATAATTGTTTACTTAATGTTAAAATCACACGAGGAAAATTAGCTTACCTCCAAGACGAAACCATCCTCCAAATGAATCGGGGATTGGCAAACTTGATAAATAATTGGGGATGGTGACTTTAACAACATTGGAAACAAAATACATGTTTGGTCTTAATTTAGACTACACACAATAGTTACACAACTAATTACAAAGTGTGACGTACTCGAAACGACTTGCAAGTTGCAAACTAAAAAGTGTTCAGTCAAATGAAAATGAAGTCGGCTGTCTAGTGTCTAAAATTATATTGAGACAGCTGACAATTGACATTAACTAAAGTACCAAATATCAAAAACAATCACTATTTAGACCATTTTTATTTGTGTATTTAAACAATATTTCAAACTTAAAGATATTTTAAAGTACGAAATATCGTTTGAAATCAATTTTTATTGCAAGAAAGGTGAGAACATATATATACAGTGTATTTTATAAAAGTAATTTAACATTTAATATGAAGAGGGTATTATATCATTTATAAGTAAAACATTTAGAGATAATAAATGCGTTTAATTAGATATAGGAATAAAATAATGAATGTTTAATATATGTAAATCTATTATAAATTATATACGTTATCTGTGCTTGTCTGTTTCTCGTTTCATCGTTTTGCTGGGTGCGTTTGCTATCATACGTTGTAATTATGAATATTTTCATTGGTTTTATTGAGTAATATTCGTCACGTTCGTCCTTTATGAGAAATTGTAAAGTGGTAGAAGTGAAATCCTTCCCAGGATATTGACCAATGCTGCTGTGTACTGAATATGGCTGACGAAAGGCTAGTGGTCCTGAATCGTTGTGACAACTTGGGATTTGGATTTTCTTTACTCGGCGAAGCCGGTTTGCCTCATATTATTTACGAAATCGAAGAAAATTCTCCAGCTGCTAAGAGTGGTGAGGTGAGTAACTGACATTTATTTTCGCCTTGTAAATTATCAGTTCAATAAAGTTTAAATTACGAAAGAATTATCTCAAAAAAATATTTTCAGCATTTTTAATTTCATCCGTCTATATGTATTTTTTTTTAATATAAAATATCACTTTTTACGAGTTCAATTGTAAGGTCCTCAAAGTGATACTTTTAACATGACTGCACATAAAACATTATAGAGATAAGAAATCTATAAAAACAATACATTTTGTAAGAAAATATTGATATAAGGATTTTATTATAAATTAACTAATTTTATACTGATGCCTTATATTTTTAAAATATTAATTTACACACTTGTTCTGATAATGTGAAACAAACCTTCATGCTAAAGGTAAATTAAATACTTTCTACTATAAACTTAATAAACTGTAATATTTATAATCAAAAGTTATAAAGCATTTGAATTTTGCCATATATTTAATAATAAAATACAAAATTCATGTGATCTCAAGGAGTAGATTTCACCTATATTTCATTTCTAATAAACAGTTGTAGAGGCAAAGATATATATTTAAACATTTTGAAACAGGCATTATTAAAAAATATTATCACCGGTTCATATAACACAATCATTACTTAATGTGTATTGATTGATATTTATTGCCTATCAAATGAATTTTAATTGCATGACACTTCAGAAAAGATGTTCTAATTATTGAATACAATTTATAACAAAGTTTTCTAATTTTGCCTACTCTTAAGTTTTTCTGGTAAATATATCTTTTGAACTTTTAGTAATATTGGTGTTATCTTATAATATACCTATATTAAATAATATTTGGCCAGTACAATTTTTTTACATACAGTCCTAAATTATAAAAATATCCTAAATAATTGAAATTGTACAGTTTTACTTTATTAGTTAGAAATATTTTATTCATATAAAGGCCAACTATTGTCTCAGATTTTGTAGGTATAAATGTGATATCAATATTTTTGTAAATAACCAATACTTTAATGCAAATTCTTGGTATTATATTAATGTGTTGTTTCTGACTCATAATAATTGTTATGAAGTATTATGAAGCTTATATATATATTATATTTTTATATATGTACATAAAATAAATGAAAGGTTATCTTTGGATATAGCAATATAAAGTGATAGTGAAAAGTTATGGGTACTTAAATTATTTTGATGTGAAAGATGCAACTATAAAAATATTTTATTCAATATAAAATGCCTTAAACCTATTTGAAATATTGCTTGGGAAACATGAAAGAAAAAATTGTGATAAAAGTAAGCATAAGAGCTATATGTAAAAAATCATATATATATATATATATATATATATATATATATATATATATATATATATATATTTATTTATTATTATTCTTTATTGTTCTTTCTAAATTCTTATTATTATTTTTTCTTCTTTACTGTCTCCTAATGAGTCTATTATACTTTTATCTCAAATCCAACAGAAGCATTTAATAAAAGAATGTTACACAAAAAAATATGTCTTTCATGTGAGTAATGAAGCCTGTCATAGTAGTTAATTAACAACACACTCATTAGGGATTTATCGTAAATATTATAACAAAAAACCAATAAGTTTGCTGAAAATTATTTGAAATGCTTTTTCTTTGGAAATATTAATTCCACATACATATAAATAATTATCCTATGATATTAAAAGTTCTTTATTTTACTAGTATTATATTATATTTTACTATTATTATATAAAACACTTATTAAAAGAAAAATAATACTACTTGAAAAAATATTTTTATCACAATCTGAATAACAGTCTTAGGTAACATAGATAGAGAAAAATAAACAAAGAATTTTTACTCATATAAAAAGGTGATTTATAATTGTATAAGTCTCACTAACAAACCTTAAATATTTAAAACAAATGTATATTCACCCTTTTTATATTTATTAACTCGGACGCAAAAAAGGGGTGTTATAAGTTTGACGTCGATGTCTATGTATGTGTGTGTATTTATGTTATCGTCACTTACAAATGGATAAACCGATTTTGGTGCAGTTTTTTTTCATTTTAAACCTAGCTTCCTAGTTGTTGGTTTTGTTTGGTTATTATTGGTCCAGTGGCTTACGATTACTCGGAAGTTTTTATATAATCGTTAAACGAAAATGCGTAGAGGTTTTAATTTAATATAACACGATATTCTGTCAATCTTGATGCGCTTTAAATCTCAATGATACTTTGTCATGTAGATTGTAGAACACTTTAAGGCTGACCAGCTCGTTGAGTGCAGATAAGATTCAAATCAAGTTTATTAGACTTCTCAATTACTGTTATTAACACATTACACGCGCAAGTCAAGATATTCATGTAACTTCCATCCGAATTTGGGCAATATAGTACGAAGTTTGTATTGAGATGTACCTATTTGGTTATGATGTTCGCCGTGGTAACTTAGTATGTTTTATTTATTGCCATTAAAATGTTGAGATAAATTATGTGTCACTTGTCATGTCTGTAATATAAGCCCATTTTAAAATCAAGGCAGCTACATATTATTATGAACGTTTTAATTGAACTTCAATTAGTTGAAACTTAATATGTAAGATTTTCGCGTATACTAGTAAGAAACGCGTATGGGAAAATTTAATTTTAATTAAAACGTTTGGTAGGTTGCACAAATTCTGTTGATTTTATCTCATTTCAGAACTAATTTAATATTAATTTATTTAACTTACGTTGTATTATTTGATTTTAACCTAAATAGGATCTGGATTTTCAATTTTACGTATTCGTGTTCAAATTTATCCAAACGTTTAAAGGATGACCGTTTGAAACCGTTGGATGTTAATAAAGTTTGCATCGTGTGCAATAAGACATTGAGTTGACCTAAATATCTGTATATAAATTAAATAGCATTACATTGAGCATCAAATATACATCAGTGAATCAACGAACAAGGATGAGGAATTCAATATATGATGTACCGGATTTAATCTTGAAATCTATCTTAGGATCAAATCAACGGATCTAATATACTTTTAAGAGTTTGTAAACCTATATTAGATAAAAAAAAAAATAGATAAAATGTCGAAATGACTAAGACGTCGAGACGATTGGATGACGCACTGTCTGATGCGAGTGTAACGTGCTGTTTGTTGGTCGTAAATGACATCGAAATATTTTAATATTTACTATCCGTGGGCGTCAATAGAGATTATATTAATGATGTAATATGAATTTCAGTACTGCAACGTTACAGTTCACATTGAAATGATAATTAAACACTGAATAATTAATGCCCCGGAGCTTAATAACGGACAATAGTATAGTCGGGACAATGGTTTTTCTCCTCAAAAGATACGCTCCAAGAGATTGTACTCTGTCTCCGTCTGATAGCTAGTGCGGTTCGATATCTTCAACTATGTTTTTCACGAGGCATGCGATGAATTACAAATTACTTACAAAGATTTAGACGCCAATTAAACGCAGCGGTGCCCGTCTGGACTTTACATCACAATTTACTATTACTTTTTGTAATTACTACACTATATATTGACCCAAGTTTTCAGAGATAAGAACTTAATAAGTATACGATTTATTTTCAAGTCTGTAAATATAAATTGTATTAAATTAAAAATTTCAGTATAATTACCAGCTTAGATACGAATCTAATTATTTTTTGGGTATAAATTAATTATTTACATTATATTGAAGGAATTATATATGTAATATGTATGTATATAATATAAATGTAATTTGAGTAGTATTAGTCATTCCCTGTCATGAAACTCAACACTAGCCAGCCTCATTGGGTCCTCTACTAAGATCTATTTCCTCACGCTACTTGTAAAATTAGAACGAACCACTTCAAGAATTGTTGATATCCAGAAACGGCTTTTATTATTACATTCATATATCTAGCTATTCATTTTTATTTGTTCTATCATTTTTAATTTATAGTTTTTCTATAATAGTAGCACTAAATTTTAAATCTACTGAATTTATATACAGGGTGACTAGTGAATTACTATCGATACTTGAGGACGTGATATTTGACGATCATATATGACAAAATAAACATTAATATAACATAAATAATAAATATAAATAAACTTCTAAGTAAAGTTAACCAAAAGCTATGTAATTAATTACGCATCGTGTGAACACCCTACAGATTAGGTATACACACACACACATACGCGTGCGGCGGCGTGGTGTTGTATCAGCACGCC